AGCCTTGAGTGCATTTCACATACTTTGTATACTCTGACATACACACACACTTCATATTCACATGTTTTTTTGTTTGTTCCAGGAGAATCCTCGCCTAACAATAATGAATATCAAAGACTGTGTTCCAGACTCTATTGAAGTTCTAAACAAGCAGGAAGGCACTAGGAAGTCACTCACAGAAACTGAGTCTTCCAAGCCCACCTACCTTTACCTCCTTCCAACAGAGAAGAGCTACTCCGGCCCTGGGCCCTGCATCTGTTTTGAGAACTTTACCTATAATCAGGCAGCTTCGGACTCTGCTTCTTGTGGCCATGTCCCAGTAGCCCCTAAAGCCCCACCAAGTCAGCTGGCACTGTTGACATCACCTGAAAATTTACTAAAGGCACTAGAAAAAAACTACATGAACTCCCTGGGAGAAATTCCAGCCGGAGAAACTAGTTTAAATTATGTGTCCCAGTTGGCTTCAGCCATGTCTGGAGACAAGTTCAGTCCCCCCACAAATCCACCAGAGCCAGCACTGTGTTCAGAGTATAAAATGCAAATGGCCATACCCTTGGGTCTTGCCTCTCCTCCCTCGAGTGGGAGTAGCAGCCTCTCTTCCTTTACCCTTTTAGATGAAGGTGAACACTACCACTAATCAGTATACCCAGTTCATGCCTTTATGCTACATAGATGCAAAAAAGGAGCATCGCCGCACCATTCCATCACCTGATGCCTCGGCACGTAATTCCAGTGAGCGGTCACCGTTGGCACACGAGACCACTACAGTCTGGCTTGGTTTCAAAGGGCAGGAGCTATGGAACTTAACATCCCTTCTTGGAGCAGGCTTGCCGTAGAAATGGCGGGATCGTGGCAATAGGCTTACCTTGCTGCTGTCTGTTCAGGCTCACCTTTAGAACAGTAGACCTGGCACTTGACATGGGGATAGACCCTGCCCACTCAGTACTGGACAGGGTGCCTATGGTCCTAGAAGTTCAGTTTTTAGCAAGGAAATATTTCCATTAAGTTTTACCCGTATGTCTTATATTAAGGGTAAAGGAACTAGATTTAAGGTTTTAGTAAAGGCCACAGAAGATTCATTACCAGACCATAAATTGTCAATTTATTCTGGGTGTGTTTAATGAAAAAGTCACATGATGTTTGAGAGTAAAACAGATTTTAGACTTGCCTTGAAGTGAGAACAATTTGTAGTTCATTGATGCAGTAGAATGAACTCTTCTGGGCACACAGACCTTATCTGATAGGTAAAGCATGTGAATGATCAATAAGATCCCCACGACTGCCTTTCCATTTAGCTTACTACAGTTAAAGAGTGGGACTGCCAAGGAACTCTTGACTTAGCGTCAAGACAACAGCACTCCTACTTGGTGGACATCAGTCTTTGACCATAATTTTTGACAACTACCTCAGAATAGAAAAAAGAAAATGTTATTAATTCCATTCACATTTTATGGTTCCTCTTTTTTTCAAGAACTACTATATATAAGTGACCTGTTTTCATTTAGTACCTTTTGGTCTTTGCCATTGTCTGGGTCAAGAAAATACCCTGTCTCATTTATATTCCTATTATGCTAACAATGAATAAAAGGAAACTTCATTGTTGGACATGGTTTAGACATAATTGTAAAAAGCTATAGAGTGGGAAATGCTGTATCTGCTCAGCAGCAGCTTTGTCTCATTGAATCAATATATACAAATGCACCTGATGCATAACAGGTGTTCAGTACGTGCCCGTTCCTTTCTCTTCCTTCTACCTATCAAAGCTTTATGTTTATTTATCACATTTCTAAGCAAGTATCAGGAGTTTCTTGTTTGCTGTGCTGGAAATGACACCATCTAGGTCTCTGGTGCCAAATGCCTTGCACTGTGTCATCAACACCACACAACCAAGAGACCAAAAGATCCACATCTCAAGTAAGGTGGCTGCCAACTGGCCTAAATATACCAACACAAACCAGGGCTCCTGTTCAGACTTTTCAACTTTTTCCTTATGTAGAACTAAACCTTTTGCTGGAAAAACTGGTTATGTACTCCTAACATAGTACAAATGAATATCTCGATTAGTCTGATAGTTTTGAGAAGATTTTGGGGGCCAGTATTGTCATCATTTAGCCTCTTTGTTGCTTTCTCATGATATGTCAATGGCTGTGAAGACTGATTTGTAAATAGTATCTTTCATATAGATTTTCTTTTAAAAATAACCCATGAAAACTTGGAAGTCATTTTTGTTGCAAAAAGCCTAATTAAAATATTTCACCACTGCATTTTGTGTTTTCTCTACCTCAATGAAATGAGAATCTAACAGTGAGTATAGCCAATAAATCACCTTGTGAGCTTACTAAAAATGTAAATTTCTGGGTACCGCTCCACACCTCCTTATCAGAATTTCCATGACATGAGGCCTGAAGTCTATATATTTCATCAGCTCCCTCCCAGGTATTTGGATGCACACTCAACTTTGAGACTCACTGTCCTAAGTCAAATGATGTCTTTCTGAAATATAGCAACATACCAATAGGAAATGCTGGCCTACGTAACTTTATGCTTACAATATCACTATGACTACAGTTTTGGCTATAAACATCCCTCTCCCATGCCCATGACATCAAATACATTCATGTTTAAAACCTTAATTGTCAATACTATATGCCATCTTAACAGCATTGCTTTAAGAAGTGTTCTTCAGAAACTGAAATTTGTGGGGCCTCTGGGTGGCTCAGTTGTTAAGCGTCTGCCTTCGGCTCAGGTCATGATCCCAGGGTCCTGGGATCGAGTCCCACATCGGGCTCCCTGCTCCGCGGGAAGCCTGCTTCTCCCTCTCCCACTCCCCCTGCTTGGGTTCCCTCTCTCGCTGTGTCTCTGTCAAATAAATAAAATCTTTGAAAAAAAAAAAAGAAACTTTGGAATTTGTATTCATGTCAGCAGAACTATTAGGATTAAAAATACATTCCTGGAAAATTTCAAATGATACCAAAGTATAACAGTTTAACAAACCGTTACGTTTATCATCAGCTCCAACAGCTGCTAACTCATGGCTGTTTCAGCCCATCTATACCCTTTTCCACTCTCCCTCCTGATACTATTTGGAAGCAAATCCTACGATTTCACCTGCAAATATTTGTGTTTCTCTAAGCTCTACTTTTCCTAATATGACCATAATATACCTTTAAAAAGAATTTTACCTAGGGGCGCCTAGGTGGCTCAGTTGGTTAAATGTCTAATTCTTGATTTTAGGTCAGGTCTCAATCTCAGCGTCATGAGTTTAAGCCCCACATTGGGCTCCATGCTGGGCATGAAGTCTACTTAAAAAAAAAAAAAAGTCCCTAAAGCTAAATTAGTAATAGTTCTTTAAAAATATCAGGGTATTTTGATGGTGTGCAGGACTGGCATTAATGACCTACAAAGACCGCATCAACCTGGAGAGTGGTCCTTGGCATGCGGGGTACGGCGATCGCTCAGGCTGGGAGCAGGGACGTAGCCACACTGCAGAACCATGCACTTGCCAAAGGAGCTTGCTTCCATTCTAGCACCTACCTGACTCAACGCTGATTCTAGCGAAACTGATTCTCCACTAGAAGGTGTATTTATTGAGAAACTCAAGTTGAATTAGTCAAAATCTAGTATTTCTTCTAAGATCGCTGTGGAAAAGCTGGCTTTCATCTTAAAGAATCTACAAAACATATTAAACATTTTGCATTAAGTAGAACTTTAGAAACCCTTGAAGAGATACAACAGAAAAAGCCTTTAGAATTAGCAGTTAAAGGATTTACAACACAGTAACTAAGCACATTCCATTTAAAGTACCAAGCAAATGCAGTTGTCTTTATCCTCTAAGATAAGCCATTAAAGAAACAAACTTTTAGTGTATTTTGTTTTTTTTCTGAAGTAGTTGCTATGGTCTCAATGATTGTCCACCTCAAAATTTGTATGTTGAAATCCTAACCCCCAAAGATGACGGTATTAGGAGATGGGGCCTTTGGGAGGTGATTAGGTCACGAGGCTGGAGCCCTCATGTACTTGGGATTAATGCTCTTAGGAGGCAGACCCTGCAAGTCTCCTTATTCCTTCTGCCATGTAAGGACACAACGAGGACTCTGAGACCGAGGAGAGGGCCCTCTCTCAACTGTGCTAGCCCTCTGGCCTCAGACTTCTGGCCTCCAGAACTGAAGAAATAGGTTTCTGTTGTTTGTAAGCTACCCAGTCTGGGGTGTTTTATTATAGTAGCCTGAATGGGCTAAGACAGTACTCTATTTTTGAGAACTTTTATATACCAAAGAGTCGGGTTTTTTCAAATGAAACAAACTTGCTGAAGTTTAGGTCCACATTTTTCAAAGATCAGCTGTCTGATGATGATTAAGTGTGCTTTTAGTTTATTTTGGGGCCAACTATGTTTTGTTGAAAAACATATAGAAGGCAATGGGAAAATGATATACAGAATTGTGCCTAAAGACAAATCTATCCAAACAAATCTATTTCTGAAAGTGAGACATATATTTTACCACATTTAGTCAACTATAACCTAGCTTTGACCTGGCTTTGACACTGAATTTTATTCTCCAGCCTTGGTAATTTCCCTTGTGGTATTTTCTTTTGCCACTAGGTGGCTGTAACGATAGCCTATCTGATCAGGACAGCTTCTTGCCTGAGAAATCAAATACCTTCCACAGAAACATCATCATCATATCATCATCACTTATATTGTATATTATTTCCTCAAAAAATTCAGAACTATTTTGTCTAAAGACAGATCCATTTTTTTCAAACACTTTATAATGATCTGAAGTTAAAAATAAAACCTGTAAAGCTATGTGTTTGATTAGATTATGAAGAATGTTTAAGGATATTTAAAAAACATCTGGAATAGCCACTAATGTATTACGAACTAGACTCTTATCTGTGGTACCTAAAAATCATTTTTACTGGGAGTCACATGTATCAATCTCTGTGGTACATAATTCAAATCAACACTGATTGTTTTAAAATTTCAAACAGAACACAAGTTTTAAGAATTTTAAGTACATTTTATTAACAATGTATCCCTTTGATAAGATTATGCTTCAGGAGGCTTTTAATGCCCTTGACATAAACTGTACACATTATACAAAAACAAGAAAACCACACACAAAAAAAATCAAGGTGAGCAAAACCATTTGGGGACAAACCTTCTTTAAATTATACACAACTCAATGAAATATTCTTACGGAAAATATATAAATACTTTTTCTTTCTATGTTACAGTTATACAATATAAATCAGATTTCAATGTCTGTTCAGTGACCTACAAACACCAGAACCTCCAAATATGTAGCAGCTTATTACTAAATAAAAAAAGAAGGATATCATGTGGCTAGGGAGCATTAAGTCTGAGATTTTTTTCACAATCCCTTACCACTTTTCAAAACTAATTTACACCATTTGTTTTACAATGCAGCTTCAGGGTTTCTGCCAGGCCGGTAATGGAACATTTTTCAACTATTATCTATGAAAAATTTTTATCGCCACCCCCCCTGCCCCAAGACTTTGTATTTTGTGCTAAATCAACCTATTTAGTGGCAAAATTACAAGGTATACTTTTTTGGCATAAATTATATTTTTCAAATTAAATGTTTTGTAAAGAAAATCAAACAAGATGTGCAATTAATGCATGTTGTGGCATAGCTATCCACCTACATTATAAAAATACTCAAGGGGGGGATCCACATTCCGTGTGAGTCATAAAAACCTACTATGAATGAAAAATACTTTGGGAACCTGGAACTAAAAGAAAAAAAGAATGTTCCTAGAAAGATTCTCAACAGATTTCAATATTGTCTGATAAGCACTGCTATCCATTTCACTAGCACGCTTTTATAATGAAACTCTCACTGTAGTGATACTCTTGAAATTAAGCTGGTGATAATGGATTTCCTGAATGGGGAGGCAAGGGAGACCTTTCCCAACGTACATTTTTGAAAACCTGAAATGTTCTTTTATTCCATCAGCTCTTCTCATAAAACTCTGTTAGTTCTATCTTTTCTTTTTTCCCATGTTTAATGGATTGTGAATTTTAGACACTGGAAGCATAAAACAAAAGGGGAAAACCTTAATTCCAAAGGACTTTTTCCCAAGGTAGTTTACAAAGCTGATCTCACACAAAATTAGCACCTCACTCTTACCATGCAAAAACAATTGCAGTTATAATTTGGATGACAATTTGATTAGTTTTTATTGCTCAATGATCTGTGCTTTAATGTGGGGATAAAAGGCATCCTCTGAATGGAATGAAAAAAAAATTTATAAAGAGCAGTAGACAAATCTAAGTAAGCACTGACACCTCACTGTTGAACACTTTACTACTGTAATATGCCCTGAAAAACTCAGCTTTAATTATCTCAAGCTCTGGATAAAAGAGCTGAAAACTATTAAAGCTACCATTTCAAAAGAACTTGTACACATGATGTTAGAATAACTAGTATAAGAATGTATATCCCTCCAAAGAGCCTCTTTTATTAATGTTGCTGTCTTACAGAATGGACTTATGCTACTAATCTTTATTAGAAAAATTTTTATTAGGGAGACATCCCCCCTTCAAATCTACCTAGGCATAAATAGGAAATAAATGTATAAGAAATTTTAGACCATATTTAATTATTAACACTAATTTCTAATTTCCTTATTATTTATCAGTATTTACTTAGTATCGTGAAGCTGAAATCTGTTCTTGAAAAAAAATTTCAATTAGAAATGACAATTCACTTTACAATTAGATATTCACAGTTTACAACCAGCAAAACTGCCCAAATTCCTCCAATTATTCAATAATTACCAATAGTACAAATTTATAAGGACTAAGATTAATTCTAAAATCTTGAAAAACTACAGTATTGACATTATTTTGGTATTTTATAGTCTTGTAGTATCTATTATTTATAGATGACTTTCTCAATTATTTCTATTACCACTGACACCATTCCTAATCTTTTCTGCTATAATTTAGTATTTTTAAACACTAAGTTAATCACGTGGCACTGCATGTGAGCATTTTTCATCATAAAAGTCTACTTTTATACAGATGAGTACTTGAAAACGTATTAGACCTGTCAGTGAAACATGGATAAACCAAATAGCACTATACATTTAAGTATAGACATTTTTCTTAGATTACTGATAACCACAAAACTCTCTCTCTCCAAACTAAGTGCTATAGGCAATTATTACAATGTATACATACATGTCTTTCAAAGTAATAGTCAAAAAAATTGTTCAGGCTAATAGTAACAAAGACTTCATTTCAGGATGGATGAGTGAAGTGGGGTCCGGGATGGGGACAGTTGTGTGTGTGTGTGTGTGTGTGTGTGTGTGTGTGTGTGACAAAAAAGAACTGTTAACTTTTGAGGGATTAAACCACAGATTTTATATTCTATATTAACTGAGGTAGTGTTTAAAATCAATGTCTAAAATATGTCAACCTCATTATGAATAAGATTACTAAATTACCTCCTTTGGAGTTTTTAACCACTATTTGGTTCTCTGGAAGGCATTTTAATCATCCAAGACCAAAGACCAAGGTGACAGGCAACGTTCTTAAAAGTACTGTTAACATTTAAATAAACACTTGGGTTCAGTGATAAATTAAAGTTAAAAAAAATATTTTATTTTCACTTGGATTTTATGAGAGAAAATCTGAAGAACCACTTTTTAACATAAGCAGCAGCTTACAGCCCTTATCTGCTTTGTTATAATGTAAGTTGCTACACAGTGCATGTAAGAACAATTCACTGAAGTGCAGTCAAAGAGGTGTTATGAAGTGAGATGAAATGCTTCATCCCAATTGGAACTTTCAGTGCCAGTAAATTAAAAAACAAAACAAAACAAAACAAAAACAAAAAAAACCTATCTCTGTGAGTTACGTTTTCTAGTTCACAGGGTTCTTTACAGAGATCTCAAAGAACAAGCCCGTTATAAAAAGGATCTGTACTATGGGAAAATATTAATCAAGATACTAGGACTGTGTCAAAGCTGATGTGCAACTGTAAAAATGGTATAAACAAATGAATTAAAAAAAGGGTCCTAATCAGTCCAGCTGGATTTTTTTTCTATTTATATATAGACCTCAAAAAAGATAATCCTTTCATTTACAAGCATTCTAATGGTGATGGCCATGCTATTTTTATATACAAATTTGCATATATGTTTAATTCCTGTAAAGATTTCCAAATATCTTTAAACATATACAAATTAAACACACAAATAAACAAAACCTTGCCCTCATCAACTTAACAACTTCACAAATATGATAAAGGCAATGACTGTACTGATAAACTCACCTATCACTGCATTTAGTTTGTGCAAAACAAGAACACTGATATAAAAAAATTAAATTACTGCTGCTTTAAAATTTGGTACTTAAGGCTTTTCACTACAATTTTTAATCGTAATTCAAGTTGCATTGATGATTTTTTAAAAAGGAAGTATGGCTCTTCTTTTCCCACGGAATGTGTAAATCGGAGGCAAACTTCTCTCTTCCTCAGGAGATCCAAAGTGTTGTTTACGTTCTTTTGCTTTAGGTCTCAATTAATAGTGCTTGTTCAAGTTCCTGTTTCAAATGGTGATATGGGAAGTTGATGAAAATGAGAAGTCCACTGAAAACATGTGCATTCTACAAATGGGAAATACTCTGAATTATAAAATGACGTTCTGATCTGAGTCAAGAACTGTAGTGAAAAACCTTAACTGGTTCAAATAGCCTCTAAGAACACATTGCCACAAAACTGAAGAGACAGAAAACAAACTGTTTGCAAGTCTAGTAACATAAAAATAACTTATAAGTCCTGGGTTGTTGAGGCTCTTCTTTTGCTTTGAGGTTACAAACCTCTGAAGTAGTGTTACAAATATTAAGAAAAATGTGGAAGGGCCAAAGTTCCTCCTCTAATACCAGCAGTTACAGCACACCCCACTGTGGGGCAGGGTGCAGCCTCAGAAACACTGATTCCTGGTTTCCACAAGTTAGTTAACAAACAAGGCATCTTTAGATTTACCCTAAAAAAAAGAATTCAGAAATAACTGTGAAGGGTGCTTCTGCATATCCTATTATTGTTCCACTGCTATTATGCTCTTAACATGAAAAAATAGAAAACCTATGTAGGTATTCAGTGCTTGGCTCTTGCATATAATGGTAACTAAAACTCTCAGAACTGTGGTAATGAGCAATGAACCCCCAGAGGGCTCAACAGGGAAAAGAGGAAGTTGTTTTGGTTAGGGAAGTCTGCAGCTCCAACTGTGCATGTACCAGTAATTGCTGGAACAGAAGATACTCCTGTCCTTGCTGCTCAGTCAGTCAGCATTTTCTGAGGCTTTTAGGAAATCCACAAATATGAATATATATAGTATTCATCTACAGACATCATAAATATGAGGTCAGGATTCAGCAGACGTATCAACTATAGGTTGCTTTGGTGGGATCGCCAGCACAGCCTCTGCTTCTTCATGCATCTAGGAGAGAAGTGGTAAACTGTGAACGACTTTCTAGTGTCTCCATAGACAGAATCTCTCTTTTAACTTAACACCAAACACAGAATTACTCTTGACAAATCTTACTTACTTGTAAAAACTGTACGTCTTGAAATAATTCTTGTATGAACCTCCGACACGGAAGTCTAAATGTGCAGTGTGAGAGCAAATGGGAAACCTCAGAGTAAAGGCAGATGTCATCGAACGTTTGAGGATACTTCTCCTTAATTCTAAAACCAAAGAAAAGACGATAGTGTGATTAACAACTATTAATAATGACTCACCTATTTTTCCATCCAAAATACACTTTTAAAATATTTTTTCCCTCCAGACACTGATCAGATGGCATATTTGGAATGATGGCATAAGAATATAAAATATTAAATATTCCTACCTCACACTTAAAACTAGATATTTTAAAGTTTGGGGTTATCTCTTAAAATGGGTAAAGCCCAAAAGCTTCTTAGAGAGTCAGAAATATTCTTTTTCACTAGCATGAGAAATTGCAAAATCTATTTATCAGCCTAGGATGACTCAACTATTTTCAAAATTAAGTTTGAAATATCCTTGACTGGGCTCTTTGTACCCTTCCACCTTCTAACAGTGGCTTTTAGCTAAGAGAGCATCAGGGGTGGGGTGCAGTGGGGTAATACACAGGCTAAGGACCCACTACTGCTGGAGCATCTGGCCAGGAGGTCTGCAGGGGGACCCTGCCATCTGTGTCACTGTTTTTTTAAAAGGTCCACAGGAGACTCTGAGCTGCATTTCTTTTAAGGGCTACACTACTTTTAATAGTGCAGATCAACGATGGTCATAGTTCAATGTGAATTTTCCTTTATCATGTTGCTATGATTTAGAAAAAAAATTAAAATTTTGCAACTTTTATTACAAGAAAGAGGAAAACAGGGGAAAAATGAAACCAAGAAAATACCACTTGTTTTTTGTGTAGGCCTGCTTTTCTCAAACTGTTCAGTCTCAGGATTCCCATACTTTCTTAAAAATTATAGAAGACCCCCAAAAGCTTATTTTTTGTGGTCTATAGCCATTGATAATTACCATATTAGAAATTAAAATTGAGAAAACTTAAGAATATATTTTATTTCATTTAAAAAACAAAACCCAGTACTTGTTAACATAAATATATACCTTTTTTTTTTCCTGAGAGACAGAGCTTGAGCATGGGGGTGGGAGGGGTGTGTGTGGGGGGGGGGGGGGAGGTGGATCCCAAGCACTCTGCCCTGAGTGCAGAACCCAACACATGGGGCTCGATCTCATGACCCTGAGATCATGACCTGAGCCAGATGCCTAATTGCCTGAGTCACCCAGGCACCCCATAAATATTTGCATTTTAATGAAAAATATTTTCTAAAACTAAAAAAGCGAGAAGAGTGGTATTTTACATTTTTAAAGATCTCTTTAAAGTCCAGCTTAATAGAAGATTGGCTGGATTCACATACCTACTTCTGCGTTCACTCTTTGACCATATGCTATTTTGGTTGAAGTACGTGAAGAAAATCTAGCCTCACACAGCTATACCATGCAGAACTACTGATGTAAGCTAGTCTAACTTTTGAAGTATTTCAAGGATCTTTTCACCCTAAAAAGCAGAACAAAGAATACTCACGTTTATAGTTTACTTACGTTAAAAGCCCAGTTTCATGACATTTAGTTGAAACTGAACTACTCAAATTAATGACTAATCTCAGAACTTCTTTGCGAAGGAGTATACGGCACATTGGTGTATCATCTGGAATTGTTTTAACACCTAAAAAAAAGATGAAAATATTTTATCTTTATCACAATAGGAAATGATTACAACTCATGAGATTTGTTTTTAAATCTTACTTAAAGATCTCACATAATCTGCACATAATCTGCCAATCATTTTGGGAACAAAATTCTAATGGAAGAGGACAACAACAGTTGCAAGAGTTGGCTAAGTATACCTGACTAAAACGGACTTGTAGTTTTGAGACAATATCTATTAACGTTATCTATCAACAACAACAAAACTAAGTATAGTTTTATTAACAATGCTTGGATATAAATCTGAAAGCTTACCTAGCAGCAGTTCTGTGCTTTTGGTGCTGCTGGCTGAGCCTTCTTGAGACACTCCATCGCTGCATCCAGAAATCCCCGAAAACTTAGAAGGAACCACTTCTAAGGGGTTATGGATAGTCTGCTCACACCAATCAGAGTATGGAATGTCTTGAAGGTCTGAAGAAAAAAATCAATTATTTCTATTAAAGTATCATAATGGTTTAATTCCTATGCTTCATTATATACCATAGACGAAATGATTTCTTGTGATTTCTTTCCAGTTTTCAACAATTATTTTCCACGATGATCTTTAAATTTGGACTGCTCAGATAGCGAAATCTGTTGAATTCTAGAGACATTTATAAATTTTATTTTCTTAAATTACAAAAATAATATATGATTAAAGAATTCAAATAAAGATGTATATAGAATAAAACAGGAAGTTAGCGTATCTACCCCGCCCCATTACTCCCACCCCCACACTAAATACCTCTCCAAAGGGAAATACGATTAAAAGTTTGACATTTATCTTTTTTTTTTTTTTTTTAAGATTTTATTTATTTATTTGACAGAGAGAGAGCACAGAGGGAGAGTGACAGGGAGAAGCAGATTCCCTGATGAGCAGAGAGCTCAATGCAGGGCTTGATCCCAGTACCCTGAGATCATGACCTGAGCTGCAGGCAGACATTTAACCAACTGAGCCACCCAGGTGCCCCTGACATATGTATCTTTTAAGATGTTCTGCTACGTTAAATTTGTTTTTCTAGTTCTTTGGGTGTGTAAGTGGGATTATGCTATATTATTATTCTATGACTTGCTTTTCTCCCCATTTAATAATTATCAATATAAGAATTACACTTTCCTGAGCTTATCAGTTCATTCCTTAGAATTAAATTTACTACACTACCCAGGCACTGCTAAGGTACTCCTAGACGGGATTTTGAAATTAACCAAACATCAGTGTTGCTAAAGTGACATTAACTTTTTTTGATTTAAAATTTTCTTGAGCACTTACAGTGATCACAGCAAATGGGACATCACTGGGAAGTCTTTGGCTATCCTTTTAGGGAGTAACACTGGGCAACCTATAAAATCATACAACCTTAGTACTATAAGAAATATTAGAAATTAATTAAAGTTTTCATCTCATGAAAGAAAAGAGATTCAGAGAGAGGAGACACAACTCAGCCAGAAGATATGAGCTCTTGACAGATGGTCCAGTACTCTACTATAGCACGTTGTCACAGTAGAGAAAAAAAAAAAGCTCTATTTTTAAAACCCAGGAAACCAAACCAATGTCAATCTCTCCCTATGTTGTTTTCCACAGAATAGATATGATCCCTTCATCTTATCTCTAAACACTTCCTAGGATTACAATTTTCAAAATACTAAGTAGATAATACTTTGGTTCCTTGGAAAAGAAGATCTATAAATTTGGCATAGTTTTAAAATTTTGGTTATTAAGGAAATCATGTGCCTTTCAGGGACTTAAAAGTAACACATGCTACTTAATCATTCATTGACTTAAAAAAAAAAAAAACTGCCAAAGATCTGAGAACTGAAGATGTACTTAAGAAACAGTAATGCTGAATAACCAGATAAGAGATGAATATGTTATTTTAGAATCAGTAGATAAGCTACCCAGAGACTATGATGACAAAGTATTTTCAGCACAAGGAGCAGTAAGAAAGTTATACCTCATTCAGTCAACATGTTTCTGAAAAGTTATAAACTACTGCAGCCTCACCTTTAACTTATGATGACTCCTAACATTTCTAACCTGTTAGAATCAGGTCCTATCTCTGAACATGTTAAGCGTTCTCATTAGGGAAAAAAACAAAAATCATTCCTCTAAGCACACTAGAACCATATAATGCATAAAAATCTGTGAAGGTGGCAGATGCAGAATAAAATGTTACCAGATATCTTATTCCAATAGCCTTTCCTCTGAGCTTTACATTTTTGAACCATTACCACCAGACCAGAAGTTTTAGAGAAAGAAACATCTTGTGTTCAAGTGTTGATGTTCCTTTAAAATGATCATTAAATAGCACAGGGATTATTTTTTAGTCATCTGCCATGAACAATATGGAAGTCTTTCTGATACACAAAATCCTCAATATGGTCTACAGGAATGCTTCTCAAACTTTATTGTGCACATGAACAACCTGAGAGTCTCATGGAAGCGCAGATTCTGATTCTGTGTGTAGGGTGGAGTTTGAGATTCTGTATTTCTGACAAGCTCTCAGGTGATGCTGATGCTGCTGGTCCATTGACCATACTTTGGGTAGCAAGAGTTCTGCAGGATCTGGTTTCTGCGTATCTCTCTAGGCTGATCATGTATCTCCTTCCCTCTTACTGTCTGAGCTCTACTCACACAGGTGTCTTTTTAGACCCTATCACTCCCCATGCATGCTCCCCTGAGAGAAGACCTTTGCTCAGGCTGTTCACTCTCTCTTCAAATTTTCTATACTCCATCTTCACTTTTTTAGCTTCTAGTCATTCTTTAGATCATAGCTCAATAGTAACTTCTTTAGAAATCTCTTTTTTGACCTGCCTACTTGGTTCTATTCCTTTGCTAATACCATGTACCTATTCTTGCTGGCACTTGTTACAAATGCGGTTATTATATTCACATAATCAACTGATCAAGTGATCAATCAATCCATTCTTCCATTGCTTTCCCCACTGACTGAAGCTCAAAGAGTTTAAGAACAGTGTTTTTTTTTCTCCCCCTCTCATAAATGTTTTTCTGGCATCTAGTTTAATGCCTGACCCACGGTAGCAGCGTAATAAATATTATGTTGAGGACATGAATGAATGAATGAAGGTTTGGCGACTTTTTAACCATTTGGCCTTCCTCCCCTCACACTTCTAGGATGGGCATCAGTAGTAAACTGTAATCATTTCCCAATTCAGAGCTCTTCTTCCCTGCTGCTTCTTACTCTAACACTTCACATCACTGGCCAGCCAGCCGAGAGGCTCTGACGGCTCTGCTAAGGTGAGCACCTTTCTGCCTATAGCACGTCTTTCACAAGTCCCAAACCTCCTGATGCTCTGCCTGATCACTCTCCCAGCTACAGGTCACAGATGGGTTAGAATTAGCTGTGACTGTCTTGTGACTAGGTACTTGAGGGGCTGGTTTCCCTATTTCTTGTTTGATAAAATAAGTAGAAAACAGTAAAGTAAAATCCATAGTAAGTACTTCATAAGTATTTGATGAATAAGGATACAAATGAAGAAGCAGAACTTGCAGAAACTAAAATATCATAAATGATGTAGAGCTAAATGATTTAAAACAGAATATTCTCTACTGTGTGCAATACATCAGAACAATACTGCCCAAACCTCTCACTCGCAGGAAATGACAATAATTACAACATGATGGGGCCCTGGACAGAGCTGTTCACAGTGGGAAGTGCCTAGTCCAAGGGTCTGTCCAAACCCAGGCCCCAGAGGCATGGAAACATTGAAGGAATTAATGATCTCAGCACACCCATATCCTATCTGTGGTGTATCAGCATGCTACAACTCATCAGTTGGAAAGCTCTGAATCAGAACACCAAGGAGAAATTTAGAAGAGTGACTCAGAGAACTTTGATATCACTAGATTTTTGAGTGTGGCTAGGTGATACCAAGAAAAAGTATCTACGGAAACACTTTACACACATATACAAACACATTATCAGTTTGAAGTTGCTAATATACATGGTCCCCAACTTATGATGCTTGGACTTTACGATGGTGCAAAAATGGTACACATTCAGTAGAAACTCTCTTGCTTCAAATTTTGAACCTAGAAATTTCCCTGGGCTAGCGATTTGCAGTACAATCCTCTCTTTGACACCGGACAGTGACAGCTGTCACTGCTCCCAGTCAGCCATGTGGTCATCAGGGTAAACAGCCAATACACACACATTCTGTTCCCAGAGAGCCATTCTGTTTTTCACTTTCAGTACAGTATTTAATCAATTACATGAGAAAATCAACACTTATAAAATAGACTTTGTGCTGATGATTTTGCCCAGTGTTCTGAGCACGTTTAAGATAGGCTAGACTAATCTATGTATATATTATATATATTATATATTATATATTACATATTAAATGCATTTTGACTTCAGATTTTTTTCAACTTAGGATGGGTTTATCGGGATATAACTCCATCATGAGTTGGGGAAGACCTGCATATGTCATTTGTTGAATCATACAAGAAAGCTGAATCTGAATCTGCTCTCACCAAAAACATATTGTCTACTACACAAAGCAGTATGCAGCTAGGTATTAGAAATACAAAAATGAAAAGACATGATAGTCCACACACTGAAGGAACTTAATGAGTGGAAGGGAAAAAAATAACCAACCAATAATGATTATAAGAGATCTACAAAAGGCAATGAGAGTAAAGAGGAAGGAATGTCAACATCTGACTTAGTGAGGGACAGCTTCACAGGTAAAATACTGACATTTAGGATGAGGTGGACCGGCCAAAGAGACTGACTGTGTGTGAATTTGTGTGTGAGGAGGGAGGAAGGGAAAGAGGGAACAGCAGGGAAAACTCATTTTTCATGCCTGGAATTATGAAATATAAAGAAATCTGTTGCATTCCTATACACTAATGAGGTAGCAGAAAGAGAAATTTAAGAAAACAATTCCATTTACGATTATACCAAAAATAAAATATCTAGGGAAAAACTTAACCAAGGAGGCAAAAGACCTGTATTCTGAAAACTATAAAACACTGATGAAAGAAACGGAAGATGACACAAACAAATGGAAAGATAATCCATACTCATGGATTAGAAGAACCACTATTGATAAAATACCCATACTACCCAAAACAATCTACAGATTTAATGCTATCCCTATCAAAATAGCAACAATATTTTTTACAGAACTAGAACAAATACTAAAATTTGTATGGAATGGCGAAAGACCTCAAATAGCCAAGTAATCTTAAAAATTTCAAGATACAGTACAAAGCTGAAGTAATCAAAACAGTATGGTACTGGCACAAAAACAGACTCAGAGATCACTGGAACAGAACAGAGAGGCCAGAAATAAACCCACACTTATATGGTCAATAAACCTATGGCAAATTATACAAGGGGGCAAGATTATACAAGAGGGGAAAGACAGTTTCTTTAACAAGTGGCACTGGAAATACTGGACAGCTACATGCAAAAGAAAGAAACTGGACCACTTCCTTGCACCATACACAAAAATAAATTCAAAATGGATTAAAGGCCTAAAGGTAAGACCTGAAACCATAAAACTGTTAGAGAAAATAATAGGTACTAATTTCTTTGACATTAACTATGGGAACATTTCTCTAGATGTCTCCTAAGGCAAGGGAAACAAAAGCAAAACTAAAAAATTATTAGGACTACACTAAATAAAAAGACTTTGCACAGCAAAGGAAACCATCAACAAAATAGTAAGATAACCTGAATGGGAGAAGATATTTGCAAATGACATATGCAATAATGGCTTAAAATCCAAAATATATAGAGAACTTACACAACTCAAACACCAAAAAACCAAGTAATCCAATTAAAAATGAGCAGAGGACCTGAACATTTTTTCAAAGAAGGCATACAGATGGCCAACAGACACATGAAAAGATGCTAAACATCATTCATCATCGGGGAAGTGCAAATCAAAACCACACTGAGATACCATCTCACATCTGTCAGAATGGCTAAAATCAAAACACAAGAACTAACGAGTGCTGGTGAGGATGTGGAGAAAAAGAAACCCTCATGCACTATTGATGGGAATGCCCTTTGGTACAGCCATTGTCGAAAACAGTATGGAGGTTCCTGAAAAAAATTAAAAACGGAAATACCATATGATCCAGTAATTCCACTTCTGGGTATTTACCCAAAGAAAACGAAAACACTAATTTGAAAAGATATATGCACTCCTGTGTTTATTGCAGCATTATTTATAATAACCAAGATATGGAAAGACCCAAGTGCGTATTCATAGTGACTGGCTAAAGATGTGTGTGTAGACACACACACACACACCGGAGTATTACTTGGCCATAAAAAAGAATGAGATCTTGCCATTTGCAATAAAGCTAACTGAAGTCATCAGAAAAAAACAAATACCATATGATTTCACTCATATGTAGAATTTAACAAAACAAACAAAGAAAAAAGACACAAATAAACAAAACAGACTCTAAAACACAGCAAACAAAACGGTAACTGCCAGAAGAGAGGTGGGAGGGGCCAGGATGAAAGAGATAAAGAGGATCAAGAACAGATTTATCTTGATGAACATACAGAATTGTTGAACAACTATATTGTCCACCTGAAATATAACACTGTATGTTAACTATGTTAGAATTAAAAAATAATTTAAAAAGCAAAACAGAATTGTTGTATCATTATATTGTACATCCAAAACTAATGTAACATTCTATGTTAATAATAGTGCAATTAAAGAAAAAAAAGACAACAGATCACACGAAGAATCTTGTGTGCTAGGCATGAATAGCCAGTAAAGAACTGTCAACAGACTAATCCCAGGGAATAGTATGAAAGATGAACTGGCAGGGGCCAAACTTGGAGACGAAACACTACCTCCAACCCTCCAATAGGGAAATGCTGAAGGACCGAACTAAGGCTGAGGTAGTGAGAATGGAGTAAGAGGGATGGTCAACAGAGGTGGGACAAGATTTGTGACTGGAGCAATTTAAATTAGGTGGAGATGGACATAATCACTTACCTGAATGACTACATATTGCACTTAGTTGATTACTGGGCTGGAAACCCAGAATTTCGATACAGACACAATAAAGGCAGTTATCATCTGTATGCTCCTGTAATCCAGTGTCTTCTGTACTTTCTAAAAACAGAGAAGCATCTGAATGGATTGAATTCATTATTTCCGTAAGACTCATCTGCTGTCGTAGCAAGTGAAAAGAGTTTTTTACAAGACCTCCAGTTCCAGATGGAAGACCTGTGCATAAGTAAATATGAAACAAAATCTGATAAAGATAGTATCAATGATACCTCTTTTCAAGATGTCTCAAACTATGTGAATTTTTAAATTAGGAAAATTAGGGAAGAAAACCAGAACTCTTTTTATGACTCGAAATCTTAACCTTAACTGAGGAGAAAAGAGAGTAATTTGCTTAAAATTAGGAAAATAAAGTTAGCAGATAAGCTTGTATTACTTCAATATAAAATTTTAAATGCAAAATGGAAAATTAAAATTATACAATTAAGACATAATTTCAATTATTCTCAGTATTTCCATAAAGAAACGTAATAATTCTGAGTCTATCTAAAGAGGTACTTGTTAGAAGAAAAAAAAAAAAGATTATGAAGCTTTAAACCTATGGCTGACATGCATATATTCATTAAAATCTTACTGTTCATAACAAAGAGAGATCATGTAATGCATAAGTACGTTTTTATCTCTCTCCTCTCCCCACACATCTGTTTCTTAGACCTTTGAGAATCAGCATTATAAATTTTTCATGCATTAGTTTTTAAAAACAGAATCAAATGATCTAGTTTTTGTCTTCTTGAGAGGCTGGGTAGAACATTTTCTTAAGACCCTCACAAAAATATATTGTGGTTTAGTTTTAAATGGGCTCAAACAATTATTTTGGCATAATTTTTAAATTGACCCAAAAGTAAGTATATCTGAATTTTTAATGTCATCCTACTGAAAAAAATTTTTTAATCAACTTTGTTTTAAAAAGAATTTTCTGGGGCGCCTGGGTGGCTCAGTTGGTTAAGCGGCTGCCTTCAGCTCAGGTCATGATCCCAGAGTCCTGGGATCGAGCCCCGCGTCGGGCTCCCTGCTCGGCAGGGAGCCTGCTTCTCCCTCTCCCTCTGCCTGCCTCTCTGCCTACTTGTTCTCTCTCTCTCTCTGTCAAAAAAAATAAATAAAATCTTTAAAAAGAATTTTCTTTTTAATATAAAGAAGAGTCAGTCTCATGAGAACAGAAACCATGCATTACCTCCTGCCTCATGGGCAAACACTCTGGCACCTCGATCATCGTGTGGAGGTATGTTTTTTGTCTGAAAATAGGGAATATCCTTTACCTAAAACAGATAAATTACAAAGAAGTTCACTTTATGAATATTAGCAAGATTAAATGAAATGCAATTTAAATAGAATTACTACAGCACATGAACGTACAACAAAAAGTTCATGAAAGAAGGTTAAATTACCAAAATTTGATAAAATAACAAATAATCCTTAAGTTCTTATCTACTCTTGGTAATTTAAATATTAAAATAATTATTTTTAGAATTTATTTAAAATGTCTTTAGACTCCTGAGCAAATGCGGATTCTTTAGTACTATCTATCATGTAGGTATTTGTATCTCATGGGATTAGGACCACCTTATATGACTGGGCACATGTGGCTGTCCTGTGCAGGATAAATAGGTTCAAGGATTATTTAAAAAAAAAAGGAATATACTGTATACCTCAAACTTACACAACTTTGTGTTCAATGTCAAAAAAACAAAAAATAAATATTAAAAAACAAGGATAAGTCAAATGTGATTAAAAAGCAAAGTTAAAAATTCACTAAACTTCTAGAGAGAATATACCGATAAGAAATCAAACAAGATGCTGATTTAGTATGGGAAGAGAAGGAAGCATAATGTTCTGGGGACTTGGAAATACTAAATAAAAAAGTACAGAATAAAGTGAGAAAGGTGAAATAATTTTCATCATAAAATGTTTTTAAACAAAACTGCTTTAAAAAAAATTATCTTCGGGGCGCCTGGGTGGCTCAGTTGGTTAAGCGACTGCCTTCGGCTCAGGTCATGATCCTGGAGTCCCTGGATCGAGTCCCGCATCGGGCTCCCTGCTCGGCAGGGAGTCTGCTTCTCCCTCTGACCTTCCCCCCTCTCATGTGCTCTCTCTCTCTCTCATTCTGTCTCAAATAAATAAATAAAATCTTTAAAAAAAAAAAAAAAAAAAAAAAAAATTATCTTCTCCCAAAATAGTATTCACTCTAAATTGTAATTTCTAGTAAGCAGTTGTACAACATGAAATAATAGGAAAATAGAATTTATGATACCTGGAATATATCATTGATGTCTACTGGAAGAGCAAGACCAATATAGTCATCTGAACTACCATACGTTGCACTGGACACCATGGACCTCACTGAGGAGGATCGCTGCAGGGTATTTTGATTAATAGGACTTAATAAATCTTCTTTATCTAATGAAGCATAACTTAAAGCTTTCATGAACCTATAAAACCATAAAAAAAAATCCCACTTGCATTAGTTTCTTGATTTGTAATATTTATCATATAGAGGAATTACAATTTATTTTTTTAACTTCAAAAAGATAAGTAGCTAGCCAAGTACTAAACAGTGCCATCTTGTTTATTAATAGCATATAAACACTTGAAATCATTTAGCTGTTATAAAATGATATACAAAAGACCATCCATAATGAGACTGTTTGGAAAAACAACTACTATGGCCTCCCAGGTAAAAGTGAAAAGGTGGGCAATTAAGGTAACTTTCAATACCTAGAATTTAAAAAAAGTGTCCTCAGAAGTCACAGGTATGATCCAAGGACTATCTTCACATCATTTCAAACTAGTAAATTTGCTATCATACAACTAAGGGCATGTCTATTAACTCCATTTAACATTATTTTTATGAAAAATAAGAATACTTATCATCCTTTGTGTGGTAATTAATGCTTTAGCAACAAGATTTATGTAACACAGAAGACACAAAACAGCAATAATGTTATCATTTGTAAATATTACAAGACAGTTTTATTTAAAGCACTGATATGTCTGCAATACACTCCTTACTAGTGACTCCATAATAAATATGGTATACTGATATTTCCTTAAGATAAAGGTTTCTTATTCATGCAACATACATGCTAAAATATTGACTAGGCACCTGCTTTGTATATACAAGGCACTACACAAGGCTCCACAGTTAAGGTACACTGGCATTTAGAAACCCAAGTCATTTAAAATGTAACAATGTAGCCTGATATTTAAAAAAGGAGTTATTTTATAATGCACACAAAATCCTTCAAAATTGTAGCTATTAAGATTATCATAGTTGGGGCGCCTGGGTGGCTCAGTCGGTTAAGCATCTGCTTTCAGCTCAGGTCATGATCCCAGGGTCCCGCATCCGGCTCCTTGCTCAGCGGAGAGCCTGCTTCTCCCTCTGCCTGCTCTGCCTGCCGCTCCCCCTGCTTGTGTTCTCTCTCTGACAAATAAATAAAATCTTAAAAAAAAAAAAAAATTATCATAGTAAAAACCACTCCTAATTTCTGCTTAAAAGACTCCTAACTGAAATTGACAAATTTGATAAAATAGGTCAGTGGTTTTAAAATTAAATTGTTAAGCCTCTCTTATTTCATAAAACTCTTAAAGGAGTATTAGAGGTGGAGGAGGTGGTGGATACTTGCCTTCCCAATCCCTATTTCAACTGACTAGCTCCATTTTAATCTATTCCACATACTGGGTTTCCACAGAAATGTTTTTGCGAAGAGAGATTCTCTACTTAAAAAGCAACATTCAAAAAGCTTAAAACCACTGATCTAGTCCAAATTCTATTAGATGAGGCAACTGAGGCCTAGATATTTCAAAATTCATGAACTTTCCCACACAGATTCATAATAGTGAGCAAATGAGGTCTGCTTGGTTTTGTCCTGGATTGATGAAGTTTTGCAAAGCTACTGAAGTCTAGGCAGATGAGACATTACAGCATAATTTATGAAACCTTCTTCAAGTTCATTCACTCAGTGCCAGGATTAGAATTTAGGATTAAGGATTCCTATTTCAGTGTTTGTTCTACCATGTCCCAAGGAAATATCTCAGTGAGATACGATTTTTAAGACTGCTGGACTCATGCTATCCATTATACCATAGGTATGTATCTGCATGCCTACCCTTTTAATTTTATAAGAAAACAAAACAAATAATAATAATAGTCCTTCTCAGACTGGATTCCAAACTGTTATTTTGAAGTAAATTTGTAGTTAGCTTCCATCACTTTCATTTTCTCTGAACTAACCAAAGGTAAGAAGTAGGAATAGAAAGACTAATGCCGACACGGTTTTTCCTCCATGGAACCTGGTACACACACAGTAAGTACTAAATGCAATTTGAAAAACAAATGAAAGATTTGATGAACATAAAGTTCTGTTATGCCGTCACACCTTTGTACAAGCTGTTCCTGTCTCTTGACTGTTATTTCTTGTTTTTATTTTTTTCCCTCCCAGAAATTAAAACATCTATTCATCCTTTATGTAATGCCAATAACTTGGCATTTTACTCCAGGAGTAAAATTTCCAAATAACTTTCTTCTGGTCTAACAGAGAATATAGGAAATAAGATTCTAAGAACCCAGATTGGTTAGGAAATAAGTGATTTGGGGTAGCTGTCTTTTCTGGTCTATTCTTATGAATATTTAAACAGTACAACTCTTTAATCTATGCCTTCATCAATTTGGATAGAAACGGCCTGCTTCGATGGGATATAATCAACCAAATCGTGTGAAATCTTAACAGCTCTCTGGTGACGTTGCACTGAGCTGTACGATGGTGCAACTCCTACTGCTTACTTCGCTCAGCTACATTCCTTACTGCTCTGGCTGCTGCGGTGGTCTCGAATTTTCAAATACTTTGTTGTAATACAAAAGTTTCCTCCTTTGCTACCAGTTTTATCAGCTGTCCTTTCCTGTTATAGTGTTCCTACCAATCAGAAGCTTCTAATTGTTGCTCCCATAGGCCTGAAAACGTGACATCAAAGCTTGTTAGGATAAGTATCAACTTTGAATGTGGGTCAGAGGTATCTCTTCTGAATACAATTCATGAACCTTACTGCATAGATTGAGACTAGTGAGCTATTAACAGATTTGCCTTTGTTCTGAATCGATGAGGTTGCCAAAGATGGGTGAGTTCCTGTATGAGACATCACTGCATAATTTATAAAATTCTATCAAATGGGATATAATTTATTATCTGCTACAAAGGAACCCCTTCTACTAAATGCATTAGCATTACTGAAATAAAACTGCTTAATAACTTTTTAATGTTATTAAGAATTTGGTTCTGTAAAAGCCAAATGGGTTACATAAGGAAATAACTACCCATAATGCTAATGATGATGATATGTGTCAAGCACTATTCTCAGTATTTGACAAATACTAATCCATTTAAATAAATGGGAATTAATAACAAAAACTAAGTAAATTTTTAGAAGTATTTGGCCCAACAGTAACAACAACAACAACAACAAAAAAACAGGTACAGAACCTTTGCAACAACCAAATTTTACATTGCATATATTTTAAAGGTAAAATCAAAATTGTTTATTTTGATCAACCTGGTCACAATCTTTAGATATGGCATAGAAATTCCCTAAAAGTTCTTGAGCACAGGCAAATTGCTACTGCTGAATCCTGCAGGCCAATTAATTCACTTAATGTTCATTAGGTTCCTACTAAATAATCACAGCTACTTAAGACAAACTGAAAAGAATTTTACTAAAATTTGTAGTTACTTAAAAAATATAGTAATAATAAAGGTCAACTTTTGGAGCCTTAAATTGACCTACCTGAAAAGGTTGTTTGTTATTGTAGGTCTTAAGCTCCTGATTCCCCCGACATGCTTCTTTTTAAAATCGATCCTTGCAGAAGCGAGAAATAAAAAAAAACTTGTGACTTGTGTGTCCTTGCAAACCATAGATGTTTATTTCAGGGCCTAAAAGAATTTCTTTTCCCCCCTCGCAGCTGCAAGAATCCATTTCAAATCATATCGGGTAACTAGGAGCTTAGAGCCTACCATAGTAAACAATTACAATTGGTCAGTTCTGAGGCTTATGTAGATGTAAAACCTGTCTAGTGCTTTCCAGTTAAGTCTGTTAAAATGCAACCACTATTGTTCATTTTTAAATGTTCATTTGCTCACCTGCTTGGTGTTAACCTGGACTCAAAGCTGCTGGCCTTCATGGTGATGGTGTCGGTAAACAGCACATCTTTTGCTGGGGATGCCAAAGCCTCAGAATGAGATAAGGACGGATGCATTCTTTGTTGCTGCAATCTTTTCAGCGTAGCATAGCCAAAGGCGTCTCTAGAACTCGTGTAACTAAAGTTACAATCTGCTAGACTTTTAATCGTAGCAATAGAGGGTGCTTTAAGGGACTGTGCTCTTCTAGGAAGTGTGTGAGAAGAACCTGGAGGCACCAGGGACACGGAGTTTGATTTGGAGAGAGACAGATGGTTAGACTGTGGCGTCAAATAGTGGCTTGTCTTAACAGTTTTAGTACTTACCACAGTACTCATACTTCCACAGTCTGTGTCCACAGTCGTAGCATCGATACCTACTGTTTCTCGTGAAGGACTTGAACTCATTGAACTTATGCCACTTGTTGTAGTGTCTGTATTAAAACTTTGGCTACGTATCTTCATATGTGAGCTTGTTGAACTTTCTACGACTAATCTCTCTCGGCTTGTGTTTTCTCTGTGATTCTCTGTACCAAGACTCTTCGTGAATTTTAAGTCATTCTCTCCAATACTTGGAGTACTACCAGTGTCTTCAATGTGCTTATTCCCAACAAATGAAGTTTCTAATTGTAATGTCTTCTGTACTGTGGATATGGGTGTGAAATCATCACTATGATTAAAGTCAACACTGGGCTCCGTAAGTGTTCTGATCCGCCTGTTGTTTGTCTTATTTTCGGATGACAGTTTCCCTCCTTTCGGATCACTGCTACTACGATGTTTTTTATTAGGCAAAGTAAGCGAATTTAAGATACGATTCTTCACAAGTTTACTAGAAGCAAAGAAAGGGAATGAATTTTTATCCTTTATAGGTCCAGGTCGATCATAAAATGCTGGCTCTGTATCTTCATTGATGTCAAGAAAAAACGTACTGGTAGAGCTGCTGCCGAACCGGTCATCCTCCATTATGAACATACCTATGATCAAAGGATTGTTAATAAAAGCACATAAAAAAATGACGAAACAAAATCATGGCAACTGTTAGTGACATATTTCAAGAATATTTTGTTGAATAGTCATCTGGGAAAAAATTTTTTCAAAAATAAAGGGTTAAATTGCTGAGAAGCCACATAAAAAAAAAAAGAACTTCCTGAGACCAAGTGTTTGAACTTAAATAAAATGTGAAATTATGTCATTATAAGGAACTTCTGTTATTTCCCAAGAAAAACTAAAGGATTCATTATGGCACAGTTTACATGAAGTGTTGTTTTTTTTTTTTTTGCTTGACTGTTTTAATGGCAGGGAGTTTCCAAAACCTCTAAATATTCAGCATACAATTAAAGGAAAAGGGAGATTTGACCATGGATGTTCACTCAGTTGGTACAGATTCTTGTTAATTTTTCAAATCACAATAGTGGGAGAAATTAATCTTATAAGAAATGAATTCTTAGTCTTAAAATATCTTTTAAAGAACCAAGTCAGAGCATTTTAAATTCATGTTTAAATCAGTTAGGCTTATTTATTTTCCTTTAGGTACTAAGTAACTCATCTAAATTCAGTGTCTAACTCTAATAAAGAAAAAAGACTCAATCTGGGTGTCCAATGACATCTATGAGCTTTTATCCTATTTTTATTTTTAGCTTTTTGTTCAATAGTTATAAACTACTTCAAATTTATTTTGAAAGAAAGCAAAATAAAATCCCAAATAAACCTGCATAATGTATTTTCAGATTTTGTCAATTCTAAGATGCACGTTTTTCACAAGTAATTCTCTAAAATCAGAATGCATCTTGTAATCAGTGGTATGTCCTAGTTTAATAGGCAGTATTTTTTTCTTCTTTTTTAGTGATACATAAAATACTGGTGCATCTTATAATTCACAGCATCTTAGGCCTGGTAAAATATGGTTTGAAAAATGTTGCACTATCTTCTTAAAAAGAACCATGTCTTAAGTTTTGTACGACTAACAATATTTAGCACAGGGCTTAAAACCACAAACTGTTTTTTATTTAATTGATTTTTGATACTCTATCTTTTAACAGTTTCAATATTTAGTTTTAAAATTTAGCTCTTCTCTCAAAAATGAATATGTAAATATAGTATCTCTTAATAAATACATTCTGGTTCAACAATCTCTGTATCTGAAAAATGAGTGAAAAAGTATGTAAATGAAGGTAAGCAAATATTTACTTTTAGATTTTATGATAAGCAAAAAGGGGAACAGGTTCTTCTGGCACATGGCTTATTTTTTAACTCTGTCAGTAAGACTTTTCCGAAGGCTATTTAGAAAAGCAAGGAGAGAGAACAATGTAGTTTGGTGGCTATTACTCTCTGTTGTGAAAAGATAACACATTCTCCAAGACCACATTATTGCCAAATTATCTTAGAAAAAAGTAAATTAGGAATGTAACAAATACATTTAAATTGTGACATTACAAATACAAATGTTAATTTCAGCTAACTTTATATGATCTTGTCAACAATACTCACTTGATGGTGCAGATTCACTTTCACTATTATGTCTAGAGCTGGTTGACTCTGAGTTCAAACTCAGGGTGCTTGGGATAGATGAAAGTTCATTACAGAGTTGTTCTACATCATCTGGAACCACAGGCCACAGATGTTTGCGACTGTGCCTTACAGAATCCCAGCTATGACATTTCAGAATATCACAGCCCTGTTTGGTTTTGGCTATGAGCCCAAGCACATATACACAGGTCCTATATGTAAAAGATGTAGTAATGACAGTTTATAATTCCAAACTGAGATTTCTTAAAGCAACCAAAATATTAGTTTGCTATATGTACATTTGAATTTTCTTTAAAAGTCATTAAAAATTGTTTAGCTTGTAGAAAAATGTATTAAAATGAGTTAGGGGTAACTTAGAAGCCATAAGTAACATGAACACCTTCCTAATATAGATAGTAATTACAAAGAAGTAGTTTAAAAGAACATAATGCAATCTTAGGGGGAAAATGACATATATTAACTTTTCTGGGATAAATCTGGAATATATGGGCTATTGGACTACTGCATATACACTATACTTTCACTGTTTACCAGTTACTAAACTTCAACATTATAATGATAAAAATGAAACAGTAACATTAAGCAAGGAGTTCCTTAAGATGTTTACCTTAGTGCATCTAAAAAAAAAAATTTTTTTTTTTTTTTTTTTTTTTTAAGTAAACTCTACTCCCAGTGTGGGGCTTGAAATCATGGCCCCAAGATCAAGAGTCGCATGCTCTACTGAGCCAGCCAGGTGAGCACCCCACCCTTTTCTTTTTAAATCTTATCTCATTAGGATTTTCAGTGAATTAATAGTTCTATTGGACTACTGAATCATAAAATACTCTTCCCTCACAGCCATTTGTGAACAAGAATATATACATTAGAAAGATTTGTGAGTAAAATAACATACCCTCTGATTGAAAGAACCTCACACTGCTTTGCAAGTTTTAGTATATCTGGAATCACATTTTCTTCCTGTAGCAAATTGAGACCCCAATTTGATGAGCCAATATTTCCCTGAAAGAAAAGAAATAACTTGTATCAAATATATTTATAAGAGTAACTCTTTCAAGAAATTTGGAGAGCTATCAAAAAATTTAACCCCATCTATGAGAGAGAAAAAAATGTGAAAAAAACCCTTAAATATGGAACTTTAGAAATTAATGCTCCATTTGTCTTAGAAAGAAAACTAATAGCTTAATCATTTATTTTTCAGTCTAAAAATATATTTAAAATGGGCAGAAACAATCTTGGTCTTAGAATATTAATCTGAGAACAAGTTCTAAATAAAATGATTTTTATTATTAATGGGAAAATTTTTAAAAAATCTAAAAATGATGAAGATTTTATAGAAGTGTTTATTACAAACCAAGGCCCAAAGAGATGCTTTCAGTTTTTTAATTTCTTCCCATTTATCCAAATCTGGTGTACGAACATTGTGACAGAGTTCGGTAATAATATTCTGGAGAAAGAAAAACAAAGCATGAGTAACAATATGCTTTCAATGCATCTTAAAACCAAATTTTTAAGGTTTGCATTTAGTAATGTTTGCATATTTAAAATTCTAAAATAATTTTATGTAAACTTTCTTAAGCAGCATTAGCGCAGGGGCTCTGAGTTCCTATTCTGGAGTTAGCACTTTCTAGCTATGTGGTTTTGAGCAAGTTAGTTAATCCCCCATGCCTTGATTTCCAATCTCTAAAATAAGGATCTGTTTCATAAGGTGTAATGATCTAATCATTACATACAAAGTGCTTAACAAAGTACTTAGTACCTAACATTATAAAAATGTTAGTCACATTATCAGTTTTTTAAATAGAACATAATACTAGTGAATTAAAAAAACTAGTATGAAAGATATATGCTCCAAAAGTCTTCACAGGTTTAATATAAAAATAGGACACTATAGAGTACGTTTATGCAAAACTTTGGCTCCTGGGATGAACACTGATACAAAAATGAACTAAACTGCCAGATTACTAGAGTTCAAAAGACACACATGCAAATACTTCCCTTTCTAAAATCAGAAGAAAGTCGCATTTATTGAAAACACTTAGTAGCAAGACATATTCACAGCCATACATTTGGTGTGCATATAATCAAAGAATAACTGCTTGACACTAAGCCTGTTATATTCCATGAGGTTTAAGGGAATAGTACAGACAGCAACTACACTTCCAGTTTGTTGCTCACCAAAGATAACTGAATCTGTATCAGGTTCAGTTTAACTTCCCAACAGGAACAATGAAGAAATTCAGTTTTTCGTATGTTTCTACTAACAAGATGAACTTCCCAACAAACTATAAAGGACAGAACTCAGACTTAAAGTGGCTTACTTTACGTAACAAATTAGCTATGCAAAAGTTGACACAGGGAAGTCAGGGAAAGGCATGCAAACCAGTGATCTATCAGGATTACGAACAAAGAATGCCTAAGTCAGTTATAAGATAGAGGGCTTTAAAAGCAATTATGCTGCTAACTTTAAGGCTTTTGAGTAGTTTTTGCAAAGGTAATACTTTAGCAATATTGAGATTTTTTTCTATAATTGTAGTTATTTAAAACAAGTTAATTATGTTTTTACCTGTACTTCCAACAAATGACAGCCTGTTTTGTGGTGTACCAGTTGTCCATAGAGGTGTACAGGCAGGTAGACATGAGGACGCTGTAATCTAGTATAATAAAGATGATTGATATACCTATTGCCTCATTTACAATATGCTAATTAAAACAAGGACTACTAATAAAGTACTAGGTAAAGATGTAATCTCTCGGCATACATAAAAATATGGAAGTGGAAAAGCGTGAGGATTTCTCTAGAAAAATAACAGTTTAGCTGGCCTCAAAGTAGTGAGTAATAGTAAGAGAGCTGAGACCAGAAAAAGAGACTAGGGTAAAAGCATGGAAGGTATATAAATTATATTAGTAAGGGTATTCAGCATGTTATGAGTGCCACTGGAATTCTTGAGTGGTCAATGATATGCTTTAAGATTTTTTTCTTATGTCAGTGAAGGGAATAAAATCTCTAAGTACTCAGAAAATTTCAAAAAATAAAGATTATGAACTGGTTTTGAATTTTATATTAGAGAACAAGTTAATAAATTATTCCATTAACTAGACTCTACCTTTGGTTACTCCGACGAACATAGTTATCACCATCAATTGGCTTTCGGTAAGTAGTAAGTGCTTCATTAAGTTGTTCCTCAATCAAGTCAACATATTTTGAATTATATTCCTGGAAGATAATACTGTCTTAATTGTATACAGTATCATATTGTTCATTAAATTCATAACATATTAGGTACCTACCAAATCTTAAAAGCATAAATATGAGAAAAATGAACATCTGTACAGAAAATTTAAAACATTTTTAAAAATGGTAGAACAAGGTATTATGAATGCAAATGCTCTATCATACCCAAAAGCTGCCTGCTTATACTCTTATCCCCATTTTCAATTATTATTTTAGAGTCCATATAAGTAATAGTTTTGTTTTTCATCTTAATTAAATCCCTTTCCCTATTAAATATGAACAAAAACTAGCCTCTTAATATTAAACCATAAACATATTCACTAGAAATTTAAAAAGGAAAATTAAATGAATTGTATCATTTTAGCACCTTCCGACATCTCTTTCCCCACTGATTTGAATCACCTCAAATGTAAAAAATGTTTCCAACTAAAACTTGAAAAACTAGCTAAATTCTTTAAACTGAAAGTCAGTCATACTGCCATCTTCATTGCAAAACATCTCCACTTTACTTTTTCCCTTTTATTTTTTAACATTTTTTAATTTAAATTCAATTAATTAACATATAACGTATTATTGGTTTCAGAGGTACAGGCCTGTGATTCATCAGTAATTATACTACCCAGTGCTCATTATATCACATGCCCTCCTTAACGCCCATCACCCAGTTACCCCACCCCTCCACCCACTTCCCCTCCAACAACCCTCAGTTCGGTTCCTATGATTAAGAGTCTCTTATGGTTTGTCTCCCTCTCTGGTTTCATCTTGTTTTAATTTTTCCTCCCTTCCCTTATGATCCTCTGTTTTATTTCTTAAATTTCACATATCAGTGACATCATATGATAATTGTCTTTTCTCTGATTGACTTATTTCGCTTAGCATAATACCCTCTAATTCCATCCACATCATTGCAAATGGCAAGATTTCGTTTTTTGATGGCTGTGTAATATTCATGTGTATGTGTGTGTGTATGTGTGTGTGCATACCACATCTTCTTTATCCATTCATCTGTCGATGGACATCTGGGCGCTTTCCATAGTTTGGCTATTGTGGACATTGCTGCTATAAACATTGGGGTGCAGGTGCCCCTTCAGATCACATTTCTATCTTTGGGGTAAATGCTAAAAGATCTCCACTTTAAACTGTTTAGAAGGAATTGGTAGAACCTCTTTGGAAAGCAATTTGGCAGTATGTATCAAAAATGTTACTTCACATACTTTTTTTTTTTTGAAGATTTTATTTATTTATTTGACAGAGAGAGACACAGTGAGAAGGGAACACAAGCAGGGGGAGTGAGAGAGGGAGAAGCAGGCTTCCCGCTGAGCAGGGAGCCCAATGTGGAGCTCGATCCCAGGACTCTGGGACCATGACCTGAGCTGAAGGCAGACACTTAACGACTGAGCCACCCAGGCGTCCCGTTACTTCTCATACTTTTTGGCTCAACAACTACACTTTTAGAAATTTATTCTATAGAAGTATATGTACAAGCATGCAAAGACATATGGAAGAATATCCAGCAAACACTATTTACTAAACAAAAAAAGTTGGAAACAATGTAAATACAGGAGTGGTTATAAAAATTAAGGTACATTCACATAATGTACTATGCAGCCATCAAAAAGAACAAGTTAGATTTAAATGTATAGCTCTGAAAAGATCCCTCAGATATACTGCTAAATGAAAAACTTATCTACACTTGAAAATAGAACTCATTTGTATTTTTAAATAAAGAGTATGTACATATAGGGGACTCAGTCGTTAAGTGTCTGCCTTCCGCTCAGGTCATGATCCCAGGGCCCTGGGATCCAGCCCCCCATCGGGCTCCCTGCTCAGCAGGAAGCCTGCTTCTCCCTCTCCCACTCCCCCTGCTTGTGTTCCCTCTCTCGCTGTCTCTGTGTCAAATCAATAAATAAAATCTTAAAAAAAAAAAAAAAAAGAGTATGTACATATAGATGGATAGAACATCTCTGAATGCTCACAAATAAACTATTACAGATATTACCTTCAGAAAAGACAGATTAAGGGCACAGGGAGACATTTTTCATTCAAAACCATTTTAGACAACTTGAATTTGGTTAGTTACCTTAACTCCCTACTTCAAGCCTCTAAAAACGTACTTTTCCTTTTTTCCTTTAGGTTCCACATTTACTTTGTAATAGCAATATGAGGTTTTACTATTATCAGTGTACCATAATTATTACTACTGCTACTATTACCACTACACTACTACCAAACTCTCCTCTCTATATGAAAATCTTAGTGCAAAAAAGGCATATATTCTGAGCTTTATACAGGAGTAGTTATATTCCTGTGGCTAATCTTTTGACCAGGGGCATTCATTTGGAAAACACTAGCCAAAGGTCAGGGGTATGGTTTATAGCTGTGAAATGCACTGAGTTTCTAATGTGGGTTATCTTGAGGATTCTGCCCAAAAGGACCAATCTGGAGGGGTAAGAAAACCCCAACTGAGGGGTGGACCTCTACCTCCCTCTGCCTACCTAGGAGGCAATATAAGTAGGCAAGCAGAGGAGCCGCTGCCCTAGTCAAAGGAACTGAAAATAAAGAGATCCACAGTGGTGAGGTCTTTGAGAAACCCATGACAGTAACCCTAAAGTAGAAGAATTAACATTTGAAATCTGCCACACTCAAAGCTAAATAGCCCAGGTAACAACTGTACCAACTGAGTAAGTCTGTTCTTGCCCCCCATGCCTCTTCCTCTTCCTGCTCCAAAGCTGAAGAAGCCCTAAACTGGCAGGCAGCTAGTAAATGGAGAGGAGATGAGCACAGAGCGTGATGAGATTAACCGAATCCTCCCTCCACTGTAGTGTTTCTATGTCTGTATCAGGCCTGGGTGCTCGGGTGAAGTTTTAAACTGAATGAGTGAGAATTTTTAATATTGTACTGGCCTGGATGTTTTATTACCTTGAAACAGAGACAGTCTCAGTTCATGCTGGCATGCCATAAGCTAGTGGGAGGAAACTGAATACAGTGAGCATGGGCTTTGGAATCAAAAAGCACCCCTGCTCTATTTTTAAGCTCTGTGACCTAGGATAAATTACTCCTCTAGGATAAAGCTTACTCTCCTTAGCCTCAAAATTTTCATTCACAAAATAGAAATAACAGAATATATTTCATAGGGTTGCCCTGAGGATTCAATGAAGTAAGACTTGAAATGGTAGACAATCAGTAAGTTAGTTCTCTTCCCTTTCTCCTTTTCTCTAATTCGAGAGGACTATGTTGTCTTTATTTTTTTACACCTTCCATTTACTGCCTAACTAACTGTAACTACAATTCAGCATCTGTTTGTAACTTTCTACTGAAAATGCTCTAGCAAAATTCACCAATGACCAAACTGTCAAATTCAACAGTTTATTTTCTATTGCTCATTTTATGTGACCTCTTTAACAAATATATATCACTGGCCTCTCCTTCCTGAAGCATCCTTTAGTGACACCATTCTCTCTGGCAATTTTCTCAGTGTCTTTGTCCTTCTATTCCCCTCATTAAACCAGAATGTTCTATAGGGAGGAATTTCCAGTTTTCTTTCTTTTTTTGTTCCTTATATCTTCCCTGGTGATCTCACTCATTTCAGGTTTCAGCTACTACTATATACTGAGGACTCCCAAACTGCGATCTTCAGCACATATCTGAGCTCCAGATCCACAATTCCAAGTATTTTCTGGATACCATCACTTGGTCATCCCACAGAGCAATACAATTCAACATATTCAAAACTCATTAACCTCATCCTGCAAACCACTTTTTATAATCACAATCTCTTTTTTTTAAGATTTTTAAAAATTTATTTATTTGAGATAGAGTGAGCACCCGTGAATGAACATCAGTTGGGGGAGGGGCAAAGGGAGAGGAGAAGCAGACTCCCCACTGAGCAGGGAGCCCGACCTGGGCCTCAATCCCAGGACCCCAGGATCACGACCCGAACAGAAGGCAGATGCTTAACCACCTGAGCCACCCAGGCGCCCCTGTAATCACAATCTCTTCATGGTGATCCACTGCATGCTCAGTCAATGATATCAGAAACTTTAAGAGTCAAGATGGACTCTTCATTCATTATATCCAATCTATCCACACCTCCTGTCCATCTTATTTCAAAGATGCCCAGAAAATGTATCCCTGCCTATCCAATCTCAGCACCATTGAAGTTCACATTCTTATCAATTCTTGCTTAACTGGTCTCAATATTCCTAGGCTTTACCTTTGATGACCAAATATCCATTCCTACACTCTGATCTGTCATGTTTCTAAAGCACAGCTCTGATTATGACTAGTCTTTGAACACCTATCATTTCCCCACTTCCGATAAAATTGAAATCCCTTGATGACATAATGTGGTTTATAACGCCTTCTATAATCTAGTTCTAACTTACCATTCTAGTCCCATCTTGCCACTCCTCACTTATCCTAGCCCCAACTACACTGGAATATAGCTTTCTTCACAAGTCTGAAGTTCCAATAATCTATACAGATTTATTATTCTGCACCCTCAGCCTTAAATACCCTTCTTCCCATTTATTTACTTACTCCTCAAGACTATTTCAAATATCATATCCTTTCCTGATCACACCTAACATTTCTTTTGCTAATTCTAATCCCTAAGGTAGAATCATTAACCCTTCCTTTGTGTTTCTTTATACACTGCACATGCCTTTGTTACAGCAGTTACATTTTGTACCTACTATGTGAAAGTACTGTACCAGATATGCTAAGCAACTTCCTAATATAATTTGTATAATAAGGTGACCGATTTTACCATGGTAATTTAAGTAACTTCTATTTATGAAATAAAACTATTACATCTTATTTCAAGTCCCCAATTCATTAATTATTGAAAGACTTCATGCCTAAATTATGTTTTTGTTTTTAAAGATTTTATTTATTTGACAGAGAGAGAGAGAGAGCAAGCACAAACAGGGGGAGCAGCAGAGGGAGAAGCAGGCTCCCCATCGAGCAGGGAGCCGGACGTGGGGCTCGATAGCAGGATCTGAGCTGAAGGCAGACGTTAACCGACTGAGCCACCCAGACACTGCCTAAAGTATGTTTTATAGTTACAGTATTTTTAAAAGGTGAGAATTTCTTGTGAAATATGGTTCAGTATAGACAATATCATGATTGAAATGATGAAGAACCCAAAAATTATTTGCATTAGAATTGATTACCCATGGGTTTCTAAGATGCTTTGACAATTTATAATGCTTCAAACAAAATAAAATCACAGTGATGACCAACTAAAGAAAAGCTAGGAAGTTAACTAATAACAAGAAGTTTGTTCTCAGGTTTATGTCAAGAAGCATCCTAAAAATAAAGTTTAAAATATTTTATCTGCTTGGTACAGTTGTTTTACAATCTTCCTTCATTTAGGAAAATTGTTTTAGTTACAGCTTAAAAGGGCTATCATAAGGGACCCAAGAATAAGAATAAAAGAAATGATAGTAAACACGGTTAATAAATTATACCAGTAGATTATATCAATTAAACTGAAAGCAAAATTTCAATAGAATATACACAAAATCAATAGTTTGCTCTAAAATAATGTGGTTTAAAAAATGGATAAATATAAACACAAATACATAGAATTTAAGACTGGACTTCATATGAATGTTTAAATATTTAACCTCTTTAGCTTCAAGACACCAATATAAAAAATCCTCTAAATTCATAGATCTATTTCCTAAGATAAAAACATAAACTGAAGCTTACTCAACAGAAAGTTACCTTGTGCCATTTTTCCAATTGTTTTGCTACATAACCCCTTTCATTCAGATAGGAAAATCCTTTTGGAATGGAAAGAAATCTGTAAATTAAAACAAACAATAGTTTAACACAGAGTCTGACCACAACTGTTTAAGGAGTTAAACTATCTTAAGCAATACTATGTTTAAAGAGCTTAAAGACTTTAGGAATAGCTTCTTCCTGAGAGTAAAAGGTCAACTATTATTTACTGTAATTTCAAATACAAATAAATTTTCATAATCTTGCAAAAACACATGAATCCAATCACAGTAAAGAAAATGTCATGAAAATCATAAGGACACACAGAAATGTAAAGGAAACATTAAGGAAAACAATGAAAAACAATGAAACAACATTAAGGAAAACAATGAGTTTCAGTATTAAAGGATATCTAAGATTAAAAAATAGACCTCTTTCAGAAGTTAACACTAAACTTTTTTTTTTTTTTAAGATTTTATTTATTTATTTATTTGAGACAGAGAGAATGAGAGAGAGAGAGCACATGAGAGGGGGGAGGGTCAGAGGGAGAAGCAGGCTCCCTGCCAGGGACTCCAGGATCATGACCTGAGCCGAAGGCAGTCGCTTAACCAACTGAGCCACCCAGGCACCCAGAAGTTAACACTAAACTCTAAATTTAAAGTGTTTCCTATTTGGATTTGAATCCAACTTTAAAACACACTGCTAAAGAGAACACAACAAAAAACACAACTATAAGAAAAATTTACTTAACATTTACCTCAGGAGGAGAAGCAAACCCTTGTCTCCAAGGTGGGATAAAGCTGGCTTCATCTGAATAAGAGCATGAAGATTGGCCTAAAAAAGGTAATTATTAGGCAAATTAACAATTGCAAAATGATAGTAAATTATGTTTCCAAAACATCTGTATTAAGTACATTATAATTTCACATAATTTTCTATTAAAATTGAGTACTTTAATAATTAAAATTAATTTAATAATTAAAATACTTAAATAAAAATTCATGTCTAAGTATTTTATTATAAAATAATAAACCTTCACCTTGTCTTCACATGCTTCATCAAGAATATCAAGAGCTTCAGAAGAAATAGTTTTGTTTTTATCATGTAGCTGGGTCACTAGTAATTCAATTCCCCAATTATTGAAGAATTCAACATTAGCTCTCAATAATACTCTTAAATGTTTTGTTGCATACAGCCTGCAGGCCTACAAAGATAAAGGAAAATATAAAAACAAACAAAAAAACCCCAAACTTAATGGATAGCCTATTTGGACTTTTTTGGGGGACAGTTTTGCTACTTGAAAATGGCAGAAAAATTGGAATTGAGGGTCTAGCCCCTGATACATTTTCTTAGTACTAGTAAATATTTCTGTTTCAATCTAGCTGCTTCTTCCCCTTCATAGAAAGATATGGGTACTGTATACAGTTCCTTGGAGGAACTACTTTTATTTTTATTTTTTTTAAAGATTTTATTTGACAGAGAGAGAGAACAGGAGAGCACAGGCAGGGGGAGCAGCAGAGGGAGAGGGAGAAGCAGGCCTCCCGCTGAGCAGGGAGCCTGATGCAGGGTTCGATCCCAGGACCCTGGGATCCTGACCTGAGCAGAAGGCAGACGCTTAACCGACTGAACCACCAGGAGCCCCATGGAATAACTACTGTTTTAGAGTAAACTCAAATTCCATCCCATATTCTTAGAATTAATAATTAATTTTGCTTGGCTAAATTTTATGAAGTATTGAACTAACTGGCTATAAAAAATATAGTTTTGTTGATGTTATACTCACATCAGTGGCTGCTGTAAGAATTTTGGAAAGGATGACTCTTGCCAATCCATCTCTGCTGTAGTCCAAGCTAGAAACAGTCAGTTTCAGTAAGTGATCTTGGTTTTTCAAGGAACAGAGATTAAGGAGACTAAAAAGAAAAAAAAGAAAAAAGAAACAAAAAGGATGGAAATATAAACAAGCATTTCTGAAAGAAAGCATTTAGTGACAAATATCACATAAAAAAGAGTCACAAAGCCATCAAGATAACTAATTTTTTTGTATTTTAATAAAATTTACCAAATACATGTACACAGAATAAAAAGCATACCATTTCAGACTACATTAAAAATAAAGTTCAGGAATATACTGAGACAACCTAGGGATACTTACCATTGAAATACGCTGCATTTTTCCAGCATTTTGACTCCATGAGGGTGGCAAGAAAGTGTTCCAATAAATAAAAAGTAGTGTTGACTAAGGGTAGTCAATAAACCATTATTTTGAAGACTTCTTTCAGGTTTCATGCCAGATGAGGCATTGAGCCACTGAACAATATCTTTTACTAGATCTTCTAAGTATCCTTGCCCATCCTATAAGCAAATACATTGTAGTATTACTGGAAAAGCACTTAGTGACTATAATTAGAAAATTAACTTTAATCAAATCCAAAAAACGTAATGATAATGATGAAGTTACTAATAACAGATACCAATCACTGAGTATGTTTTTTTAAATCTCATTCAACACAATGCTGCATGAAGATTATATTATCTTCCATTTTACAAAGAGAAAAACAGGTCTTCTATAAGGCACATACGTTGTCCAAAGTCACATAACTAGCTAGTGACAAGAGTTAGGATTCAAATCTAGGTCTGGGCTCACTCCCTATGTTTCTAAATACAACTATGCATACTCAGAAATAAAAGGAAGGGGGCAAGTTCAATGAGAAACATTTGCTCTGGAAAATATTCAAAGTGCTTATTACCTCTTCGGACTCAAGAAGAAATTCTGTAAATTGGCAACCCACAACTGTGAGCTGCTTGGACTTGGCAAAATCCAGATCCAGGTTGGCATATAATTTACTGCTGGGCTTGTAAAAGTAAAGTAGTCTTCGTACAAACCTAAGAGCAAAATAAAATTAGCAACAAAGTAAGAAATCAAAATTACTTTAAAATCTTAACCATAGCTTAAGATATATAATATGGTTTTGAATGTTTTGGATTTAAGCCATTGGAGTAAATAGCAAGGAATAAACACATCTGGTACATTACACACACACACACACGCACACACACACACGCATGCAAAAACAACAAAATAGCAAAAATCAATAAAACACCTTAATTGTCAAGAATAGCTTGTGAAATAAGAACTTTATGGTGAGATGCCTGAAAGAAATAGTAGAGAACAAAGATACTAGCTAGAAAAACGCAGATATACAACATAGCCAGAATTAAGTTTGGATAAATATGAAGACACCTGAACATAAATTTTCTTTTACTGTATTTTGTGATAATCTTTGTCCCATGACTCTATACAATAATCCTATACTGGATAATTGTAAGCAAAATAAATCATACTACAATTCTGTCCGTTTTTCACAATTAGGCAAAAAGCCAAGCACAAAAGCTGCAGGTAAAATTTAGGCAACTGAATTCATGAGTACTGAACACAATTTATATTTCAATGTTATAGCTTTCAACATTATGGGCTAAGCTTCCATTTAACTTAGTTCAGTTTAATTTCATGCACTACAATCCAATCCAATAATGGTGCCAATTCTAGGATGTGGAGAAACAAAGTTGAATGAGACTTCATCTGTTTTCAAGCAGTATGAAAAGTTGATGCTATGCTTCTTTATTCCAGTTTAAGTTTATATATGTTCCGTATAAACTTAATACAGATATTAAGTTAAATACCATGAGTAGATGAATACAACCAAATAATAATGTCAAGGACATAAAATTTTTCAGAAACATGAAGGCCCTCTTATTGAAGGAGATCAGTACTGGTAGTGGATTAGTCTAAACTCAGGATGAGGAAAAATGCACTGGGTACTAGAGAACTACACAGTACCTTGAAGTACTGTGTATGCCATGAACCTTTGTATGTTTTATGAAAGGTATGGAGAACATCAACTTGGTTAAGGGAAATGTAAAGAGGAGGAAAAATGGCTAACCCTCCAAAGTCAGATGTAAATGCAAGTAGAAGCAGAATAGTAAAAATGGCCATCATTTTGGGAGGGAAACACTATGACCTTATTATGTCATCCTCATACCTTAGGGCTAAGATTACAACATGGTTGACATTACCCCAATTTGAGAAACTTTTATCTGAATTACTTCATTTGTTCCAAACTAAAACCAGAATATCGATAACTAGGAAAAGAATTAGTGGATGCTTTTAGGTTATAAGAGTATACACAAAAATGTATACATGTACCTACTGAATACTATTAAAATGTTATGCATGTATCTTTAAAATACCAATTATTACTTTTCACAGGTATTAGGCATAATATAATTCAAATCTAAGTTCTTTCAATTTAAATGCAAAACAGTTGTTACGTACCTGTGCAACTGTTCATCTTTATAGTTTCTTAGATTTACATTTGGCCACTAGAAAAACATAATATGTTATATCATATATGTATTTATCAATTCCCAAAATATAATTATGATGAATTACAATGAATAATAAAATGAAGCCATAACCAAGAAGTATCTTTTCATACCTTAAGAATGGTCCCTATAAGATTCCAATTCCATTCAAGATTCTCTTTATGTTGAAGGACTTGGCTATCTCTAAGGTTCATTAAAAGAGCTTCCTCTGTATCCTAAAATCATCAGAAAGTAATAAGGAAAATTAAGGCAAATTATCTTCACATTCAGAAAACTAAGTTCAAATTTTAAAAATACAAAGATTTTTCATTTAAGGATGAATTAGCAAGGCTTTTTAACTTTAACAAGTTATAAAAACATAGCTCTAAACTGCCTAGTCATTATAAAACTAGAAAGCCATCTGAAAATCCATAAGCATGAATAATAAAACTGCTAACTCAAACATGTAGATGCATATTAAAATCCATCAGTTAAAAATTAGGAAACTAAGTTAAAAATTGCGACGTTTCATGTCAGTACCTTAAGAACAAATATATCTTTCTGAACTCGGAGATACTGATCCCGTTTCTGGTGGGTTGCAATTGCTTTCTGAATAATGTGATCTAAATGAAGGCTGTAAGGTTTAGGTCCTCGTTTCTTCATTTCATGGAAGCGTTTTAAACAATTCAAGGCTGCACTGGCTCGCCTAATTAAAAAAAACTGAATTAATTCTGTAGCAAAGCTAGCATAATTTTAAAGAGATCACTTTGGTAAATTACTCCAGTAAAATATATAAATTCAAGGCTAGAGATTGTTATTAAAAAGTAAATTATTTAATCAAATTTGGAACCATAAAGGAAAAAAAATCAAGAACACTGCTGATTTGTATGAAGAAACACTAATTATGTAGATCCAACTAAATATGTATTTACTAATCTTGTCTTCTGTGTGGTGGGCACTTTTTGTATACTGGTTTTAAGAACTCCCAGAAAGTCAGAAACCTAGTTTTCTCTATTTTCTTATAGAACTTGTTTTTCACATTTAAATCCTTAAACCAGCTGAAACCGATTTTTGTTTATGATATAAGGCTGGCATATTTCATTTCCCCCCCACCATGTGGATAACTGATTCCAGTATCAATTTGTACAATCTCTATTTTCCCCCACTGATCTGCAACTGTTAATGGTATCCTTTTAAAACTTATTTTTAATTCCTTGTTCGTGGTCCATAAAAGCACAGTTTTCAACAATCTGGTAGCAATCAAGTCTCAACTCCAGAACTTCTAGTAAAAACAAATCAGATTTAAAATTTTAAAACCTTGAGATGCTCTCATACTGGCAAGTACTGAAAGTAAAGAGAGCTTGCTGAGCTAAAAAAACAAAACCAAAAAACCATTATAAGATTATTATTGCTGAAATTTTGAAGGTAAATTTGAATTCTTGATGAACCCTGAAATTCACGGCCATAATCTGACCCAGAGAGGTTAGGTCTACCAGGCTTTGGGAAATCCATTTTTCCATCATGAAACTACTAAAATAAAAACTGAAAGGGGACCTGGCTGGCTTAGTCAGTAGGGCATGCAGCTCTTGATCTCAGGGTTGTCAGTCTGAGCCGCACACTGAATATAGAGATAGGTTGCTTAAATAAATAAACTTAAAAAAAAAAAAAAAAAAAAGCTGAAAGCTATCATTACTAATGGAAGCCTAGAGTTAGAACTGAGATAATCCCTAGTAACTCTTGGTTTCGAATACAACTTCATTCTATTAAATAATAGTATATTTAATGGTAGAGTTAGAATTAATAGAATATTATTTACTTACAGTGAGGCCCATATGTGTACTTCTGAATTAATAAAGCTAACTAAACTTTTAAGAAATGTATACCTGTCAATAAAAATTCACAGTTCTGAATAGCTAATGAACTACATTTCACTAATATTACCAAAAAGAAGTCCAAATATAGATTTCTTTGATTATAATAGTTAGAATTAAAAAAAGAAAAAAAAAAAAAAAAAAAAGGAAGGAAGGAAAGGAAAAAAACACCCTGGCTTAGACATAATCTTAACCAAATGAAAAAGATTCCTATGAGGGTTTTCCAATCAAGCTTCTCCATCTTTACCTTGTAAATTATATTTTATTATTAGTACTGAAATTCCAGCAGACCTACAGCTGTATTACCATTCCTTTGTTTATAAATTCTGTTTGCAATATCTCCTTCAGATTTAAGAGGTTAGCTTACTTCAGTGCCTATAGTATGGGTTACTAAACTCTAAAATTTTTAATCACACATACAAAAGAATACATTGCTACTTTGTGCTTTATTAACTTGAAATAGTTTAGACATTAAAAAGCCTGAGTTGCTACTCAAAACATAAAATAGTCCAAAAAATTCTCAAACAACATTTTTAATGATGTGGTAGAAAGTTTATGTCCTTATCCAGAAAAATGCTAGAAAAACTTGATTTTTCTAAGCTATAATACTCTGTAGCCTATATTAAATAATACTATCAAATTCTCCTCTCCTCTGTAAGGCATCCCAAAAGAATTTCCAAAAAAAAAAAGAATTTCCAAGCATAATCTATACACACACACACACACACACACACAGAATTTTAAAAAGAAGAGAAGGTCATCAAAATGGGTATTAAATATACCAGGCACAGTCTTTGCTAGAGCTCTGATACTTACAGTCTCTTTTCCTTGGGGATATCAAAAGATGCAGCCATATTCATTAGGGTTGGTAGGCAGTGTAAATGATGGCTATGTGAATGAGGAAGAATTGTATTTGCCTAAAATGAAACATAATATTTTTTAAGAGTTGACAAATAGAAATATTTTGTTATAGATTATCCATAGATAAAATATTAAAGGTTTTACTCATGAAATGATTCCCTTTCAAATACAAACTTATTTATCATAATTTATCTTACCTACTTTCAACAAGGATGAGACAGAATGAAGATACAGACTCATATTACATTAATAAAACTCTGAATTTTACAGATCCTTTATTATAACATTAAATTATAATTTAAGTGGTAACTTAAAATTAATTTAATTACAATTAAACTCAATTCTTAAATGATCTCAAAGGATTACATATCAAAACTTAGATCCAGTGCTATAATGTTACATTAATCCTGCTTTCCAAGCAAAATCCACCACTCAATCTGCTTTCTACCAATGAAGATAAGTAAATTAATTAAATGTGGAAGCCAGAAAATGAAAGCATAATAAGCAATGAACTAATACCACTATACTCAAAATGACCAGCTTTTATATTTCAAGGGAATCAAGAATTCTGGTCATGGAGGAAGGGAAAAATGAAATTTATAAAAAAGATTACTTCATAAAGAGCAAATAATTCTAGATATTGATAACCCTACAGGAAATGATATATCAAGAATTAAAATAAAAGGGACGCTTGGGTGGCTCAGTCAGTTAAACGTCTACGTTCAGCTCAGGTCGTGATCCCAGGGTCCTAGAATTGAGTCCCATATCGGGCTCCTTGCTTGGCAAAGAGCCTGCTTCTCCCTCTGCTTGTGCTTGCACACACGCATGCGCTCTGACAAGTAAATAAAAATCTTAAAAAAAATTAATTCATTAAAAAAAAAATCAGATCTGAAGGGATGTCTGGGTGGCTCAGTCGGTTAAGCATCTGTCTGCCTTCGGCTCAGGTCATGATCCTACTACGGTCCTGGGATCAAGTCCTGCATCGGGCTCCTTGCTCAGTGGGGAGCCTGCTTCTCCCTCTGCGTGCCTCTCCCCCTCCTTGTGCCCTCTTCCTCTCTCTGACCAAATAAATAAAATCTTAAAAAAAAAAAAAATCAGATCTGAAAATCTGCAGTATTACTTAATTCTTCCATGGATGGACTGAAGGAGAACAGAGGATATGGCTAAATAATTCAATGGTAAACAAGACAGTTATCATTAAACTCTGTTTAATTCTCTTTACCTCACTGAGACCAGCTGTTATGTGGAAAAACAAAACAAAACAAAACAAAATAGTAGGGGTGGGGAGGCTGAAACAACAAAAAGTACTCTGTCAGTAAGAGAAAATCATAAAATAATTTTAAAAGATCTGCCACAAGGTTATTTCTTCCTTAATCAGTTAAAATGGTTTTTTTTTTAGTATTCTATTAACGAACGGGTGATCTAGAAATAGGAATTCTATCCTGCAATCAGTTCTCCCATTGCTTGATTTGTTGGGAGTAGAGAATGGTCGGATCACTTTCTTAGCTCCTTGTTTCCAGAAGTTACTGATGTCATAAAATCAAGGCAAACCCCCCAAAAACAAAAAAACGAAAAAAAAACAAAACAAAAAGAACTCACCTTCTAAACCTCAACTCACAAGTTTGCAGAGAATGTTTTCAAACAAGGAAGTTAAACTTCCAATTTTTTTCAGTTTTCTAAAATTCAGGCACTGATTGCCGTATCAATTCCACTGCTACCTGACTGAATATCTAGTTTTGTAATTTCTTGCTTATTAGGCAGCAGGTCTTTCTGAGATATATTAAGATTTATAGGACTCAAAACGTCAACATAAAAGTGAGTATAAAAATATTCAGTACTTATTAATTTTTACATGTTCCATTTATAAAACTAGCTATACCATATATACGCACATACTATATATACATATATGTATAGATAGATACAAGGCATCAAGGGCTCTTTGCAATACAAACACTCAAAAAAAAGCAAATTTACTTTTTTTTTTTTAAAGATTTTATTTATTTATTTGACAGAGAGAGACACAGTGAGAGAGGGAACACAAGCAGGGGGAGTGGGAGAGGGAGAAGCGGGCTTCCCGCGGAGCAGGGAGCCCGATGCGGGGCTCGATCCCAGGACCCTGGGATCATGACCTGAGCCGAAGGCAGACGCTTAACGACTGAGCCACCCAGGCGCCCCGCAAATTTACTTTTTGAGATACTACAAAGTAACATTATTTTATAAATTAAAACATTAATGGTATGAAACATAATCACAAGTTGCTCAACTTACCATATGTAAAAGCTCTCCTAAAAGGATGGTAGCTCTAACTGAGATATGGTCATCACTGTTTGTTATCACTTCAACCAAACCCTTTGAAAATAAAAAGAAAATATTATTCTTGCAAAATAGTAAGTAGGAACACATTTACGCATCATATATGCTTGTTGCTCTGAAAGAACTTTGTCAGAGAAAATTTAAAAAATAAAATAAGGTTTATAAGTCTTACCTCTAGAAGTCCATTACGAATAAATGCAGAGAGTATCAGTGCCAAATAATTATCCATGAGGTCTGGCCTAGAAATAAACACAGCACAGAAAAAGTTTAGATAGTGTTCAATATGTTACATAATTTAACATAAAAACAGCAATTGTAATAAATTTGAACTATTCCTCTAAATCCTACCTGGATCTGGCACGATGAGGAAGAATAGTTTTTGCCTCAGCTGCTACAAAGCCATCTGAAAGTCTCCAACTGTCTTGGAATCTGCCTGGATCTAAAATAGTTAAAATTAGGTAGTTAGAAGAAAATGAGAAATCACTAAAACACATCAGTTACCATCAGCTAGTCGGGCTATAAATAATGTTGTAAAATGTTGGTTAAAAAAACAGACTGAGGGGCGCCTAGGTGGCTAAGTCGGTTTAAGTGTCCGACTGTTGATTTTGGCTCAGGTCATGATCTAGGGGTTGTGGGACTGAGCCCCACATAGGGCTCCTGGCTTAGCAGGGCGTCTGCTGGAGATTCTCTCTCTCCCTCTGCACTGCCCCTACCCCCACTAAAAAAAATAAATAAATCTTAAAACAATGTTTACAAAAAAGACTAAAAAGGCATACAGAAAATAAATGATTTACCGATGTACACAGATCTAAACTTCTTTCATTTTGGGACTTAGGAGTCATTGGCTAAAATAAAATTACAGCGAGAATTAGATAATCTAATTTCTGTCTTTGTCCATTTTTCTACTAATTTCACAGCTCATTTGCAATACCTAGGTGATGATATGAGGTTTTACTTTTATATTAATTTAATGTTATGATGATGCAGTAAGAAAATGGTATGCAGCCATCAAAGAAAACGAAATCTTGCCATTTGCAATGACGTGGATGGAACTAGAGGGTATTATGCTGAGCGAAATAAGTCAATCAGAGAAAGACATGTATCATATGATCTCACTGATATGAGGAATTCTTAATCTCAGGAAACAAACTGAGGGCTGCTGGAGAGGTAGGAGGTAGGAGGGATGGGGTGGCTGGGTAATAGACATTGGGGAGGGTATGTGCTATGATGAGCGCTGTGAATTGTGTAAGACTGATGAATCACAGACCTGTACCTCTGAAACATATAATACGTTATATGTTAAAAAAAAAGGAAGATAGTAGGAAGGGAAAAACGAAGGGGGGGAAATCAGAGGGGGAGACGAACCATGAGAGACTATGGACTCTGAGAAACAAACTGAAGGTTCTAGAGGGAAGGGAGGTGGGGGATGGGTTAGCCTGGTGATAGGTATTAAAGAGGGCACATATTGAATGGAGCACTGGGTGTTATATGCAAACAATAAATCATGGAACACTGTATCAAAAACTAATGATGTAATGTATGGTGATTAACATAACGTAATAAAATAAAATTTAAAAAAAGAGAATGGTATTTAATATTTAGTTTAGTACTTTGCCTTTGAGGGATTCTGTGTATTAGCTAAACCATCTTAAAAATCACAGTATATGAGTAGATACAAATGGGCTTCAGTACTTACCTACACTGAGCAGTGCTTCTATGAATTCTTCAGTCACAACAGGTAGAGGAAGACGAAATATATCATAGAGCACTTCAAGCAGACCTCGCTGCAAGTGCAAATAAATACACTTCATTTATTTTTATGGAATGAATCTTCCTTTAAATTTAAAGATTTAAAACAGATGTTTTAAATGTCCTATTCACAGAAGAAAAACTGATAAAAACAGAACTCTGTATTTCTGAAACTTGCCATCTCAGGCCTACACTCAAGAAGAGATAACTACGGCGTGCTTACTACATACATGATTTAATCTTTTCAATTAATCTCTTATTATCCCCATTGTAGTACATATGGAGAAATAGATTTACAGGTTAAACGTAACTTGCCCAAGGTCATGGAGCTATGAAGACTAAAATCAGGAGTCAAAGCTCAGTGGGCCAGACTCCAAAAACCATGTTCTTTCACCATCTGTGAAGTAAGCAGTCAAGTGAATTGCCCCAACCTTTAGTTCCCTGCTTATAGATCCTTCCATCTATAATCATGTCCTTCCATTTCCATGGTCTAAAGGCCTTTTCAGTTCACATTTTAAGCAAGGTACTCCTAGCTAGTATTTTCTTAATATTTTTCAACTCCAGGTCTGGTTCAAATAAAAAAAACAAGAAAAGTACAAACTATTTTTTTGAACACAAAACAAAAACATTTAAGTGGAAAAGAACCACTGAAGAGTTCATTTTTTTCTCTCCAATTTCAATTTGTTTTAGCTATTTAATATAAATTGCTATGTACTAATAATTTAGGACTATATCTAATAAATAAGCATATAAATATTACCAACTCAATTTTAAAGAAAACCATCACTCATATTAGAAAAACATAAGTTAGAAAGCATAAGATACATAAATACTGTATTTACTTTTTACTAAATATATTTCTCTATTGCTTCAACCTTTTACAATGAGAATGCCCTTTTCTGTTTGCATTTTTTAATGAATAAAACATAATTTCATATTTTAATCCAGTTTTTAATTCAGCCATAGTTCCTAACAACATCACTATTTCAAATTATTTCTATTAGCCTCAGGGTTCAACTAAGTAGTAAATATTCATTAACGTATTTTTTTCAATGCTCTATGATACAGATGAATAATTCATGAGGAAAAAGCAACACCTAAAATAACTTTTTTTACAATTAATTTCCTCTCTTAAAAGTCTGGGAATGAAACAATTAGAGTAACTTTTGCCTACCCTTATTTCCATATTTGGTATACAAAGTACTCCAATTAGAGACTGGATCCCAGAGTTGCCAGGTTTACATAAATTAATAATACCTAAAGAGGATAAAAAAGAAAAAATCACTGATTTAAATTTCAAAAAAAAAATCTATAGCAATGTATTCATAATATAAAATCTGTGGTATTTCTCCAGATAACTCCAAAATTATGCTCTTATCTGGTTATAAAGTAACATTTCCCTACTGGCTAGAGATTATCAGTAATTTTATCATTTAAATTGCTTCTTCTGCTTGTTGCATACCCAAAAAAGTTCATCAATATGACTGCCTACTACTCCTGCTTGCTGATGTCTCAGGGTCAGAATACTGGAGAGAGTAGGACAACGTTCTGTCTCTCTTACCTAATACCTTCTTAACCTAAAATGAAGTGAAAAAATCTGCTTGGCATTTGTCTTTTGAAATTTTAAGTGGGAGAATTAAGTCAAACAATTTAAAGCACATTAATATCATGTCACAAAAGAAGATATGTGAATAGCCAATAAACACATACAAAATATTCAGTATCATTAGTCATTGGGTAAATCTAAGTAACATTCACAATCAGATACCATCACACACCCACCAGTATGGCTAAAATGTAAGAGGACATGAAATGCTGGCAAGGATGCAGAGCAACTGGAACTCATATACACTGATGATGGGAGAATAAAATATGTAGGTATTTTGATAAAAAGTCTGGCAGTTTCTTATAAAACTAAATATATATCCACCTTGTGACTCAGCAATTCCATTTGGGTATTTACCCAAGGCAAATGGAAAGCTCATGTCCACAGAAAGACTTTTTAATCACCCAGGTAAATCATTAGCACATTGACTTACAAATAGTAAATTTTAGTAATTTTGTACAAATCCCTCTCACTCTAATAATAACATACAAAGTTAAAACTAGGTTAACATCTAAATTAGATGCTGCAAGAGTAATTTAACATTTGAAAAAATAATCAAGTTTTTCTTATTAAGCAGCACAGAATAACTTACCTGCCCATGACCGGAATGTTGCTATGATTCCCATTTTACTAGCTAGAAACCTCGCTTCTCTGTCTTCTCTGGGGGGACGCGCACAAGGGGCAGAGATCAAAGAAATTAAATGTGAAAATAAAAAGTGAGATATTCCTCTACTGTATCAGGAAAAAAAACTATCATTAGTTAACATTTAAATATTTGCATAGGAAATAAAACATGTTAAAAGAAGAAAAAAGGTCAGATCTACCTCAAAGAAAATTACCCAATTATATGCTGACCCCCACCCCAATTTAAAATTCCCAACATAGTTTGGAGCGCCTGGCTGGTTCAGTCGGTAGAGCATGTGCCTCCTGATTTCAGGGTTGAGTTCGAGCCCCACACTGGATGTAGAGATTACTTAGAAAAAGAAAGTAAAAATCTAAAATCCCCAACATAGTTTAAAATAAGTTATAAATTCCACTTTTCAATTTAGTTCTACTTTTCCTGCTCTTTCTGAAAACTATTCTTAGATACCTCATTAACACCTTTAATTGAGCACTACAGACAGCACCGCCCTATTTATCAATAAGCATCCTTGTCAAAAGGCTACCCCTTAGCAAAGAAAATTACCTCTCACTTTTACCACATGTATTCTTTTTTTTTTTAAGCTTATTTGTTATCTACATATGTAATCTCTACATCCAATGTAGGGCTTGAACTCATGACCGCAAGATCAAGAGTCACATTCTCTTCTCACTGAGCCAGCCAGGTGCCCTACCACATGTATTCTCTTGACTTGAAAATTCTTGCCCCAAACTTATTTCAGCATTTCTTTTTTCTTTTTTTATTTCAGCATTTCTAACACGCAGGCTCAACAATCCATATATTCACTGATATTATTAAATAACTAGATATTATCATCACCAGCTATTTTTTTCTAATTGTGTATCCAAATATCTCACCGTTCTTTCTTATGCAATAGTTTATGACCATTAATCAAGCAATAGAACTATTTATATTCATTAAGTATTTTCCACTGGCTTATGGCCAGTATCAATACTTAATAGCAATCTTATACTATTTATGCCACCTCCACCACCTCCATTCTCTCAACTGTCTTTTTCTGTGCTAGCTTTTTGTCTTCTCTAATAAAGTCCTTAACAATTGTGAGAATACAGAAATCCAGAGAACTGGGAAAGAAAAAACAAGAGGGGGTGGATTAAAAAAAAAAAAAAGAAAGAAAATCAAGTTAAAGAACAGTGAGCAATCAGTCTGCAAAAGAAAAATTAAACACTTAAAAGGACATACTAACAAGCCACACTAAGCTCTACAGCATCAAATAAGTGAGAATATAAGAGAAACTAAAATGAGGAGATGGGGTGGTAGAAGAAATGAGCATTGGACAATTATGGGATAAAGCTTTCAGTGCTCCTTCTCTTAAAAATATTAGTGACAGGGGCACCTGGGTGGCTCAGATGGTTGGGTGTCTAAGGCGCAGGTCATGATCTCCAGGTCCTGGGATCGAGCCCCACATCGGGCTCCCAGCTCAGCAGGGAGTCTACTTCTCCCTCTCTCTCTCTTTGCCTCTCCCCCTGCTTGTACTCTCTCTCTCAAATAAAGGAATAAATCTTAAAAAAAAAAAATGTTAGTGACAGGAGTGCCTGGGTGGCTCAGTCGGTTAAGTGCCCAACTCTTGATTTCAGCTCAGGTCATGATCTAGGGTCATGAGATAGAGCCCCGCAACAGGATCCAGGTTGAGCATGGAGCCTGCTTAAGATTCTTTCTCTCTTCCTCTGCTCCTCCCCCCTGCTCATGCTCACTCTCTCTCAAAGGAAAAAAAAGAAAAGAAAAGAAAGTGTTAGTGACATACTTACAGTAACTGCCTGGTAATCCATTCTCTAACCTATTTAATAAATTTGTAGTATTTTTAAAAAATCACTCCATTTTCCCTTGTTCCCTGGCCATAATGTACCCATGCTCCAGAAACTACCCATACTCTAGGAACTAAATGAAAGTAAAGTACAGAACCAAACAGATAAGGATGGATTTTGGTGGAATGTACCTTCCCCCTCCAACTCTAAAAAATAGCCAGGCTCATCTCTCACTCATCCTGGTAGGCAGAATTCTAAAAATGTCCGCCATCCTCTCAAGATTCCATGCCCTAATCCCTGGGTCCTGTGAATATGGTATCACTGCCATGATTGTGACTAATTTAATGTTATATAGCCTGGCAGACCTTAAAAGGGAGATCATCTGGTAGGCTTGATCTAATTGGAGCTTTCACTAGCTAGTGGCAGAAGAGAAAGAGAGATTCAAAGCGAAGGATTTGAGGAATTTCTGTTCTGTTTGAAGACAGAGGGAGCCACGTGCCAAGGAAAGAGGGTGGCCTCTGGAAGCTGAGAGTAGACCCTAGATGACAGCAAGGAAACAGAGACCTCAGTTTTACAATAGCAATAAAGTAAATTCTGCCAACAACCTGAATGAGCTTAGAAATGGATTTTTCATCAGAACTTCCAGATAAGAGCTATGCCAGACTTCTGACCTACTGAACTGTGAGCTAATAAATTGATGTTATTTTAAGCTGCTACATTCATAGTAATTTGTCATGTAACAGTGGAAAGTGCATTTCTCCCATCAATAAGGAGAACGTTAAGCGTCATCAGGAAAGCCAAGACAGGGGCCTAAGAATCCCAAATCACAACTTAGTAGGGGTAAGATTTGAGAAGTCTAAAACAAAGAACATCTATTTTGATTTCTTAGCTCAGGTCATGGAATGTTAGGGTATGATCAGTCCACAGTGATATAGAAATGATTAAAGATATAAAACCACTATTTTCCATAAAAATGAAAAACAACAAAAATATCCCCATTTCACAATATTCTAAAACTTAAGAATTTTAAATTATATACTATCTATCAAATAAGTGCTTATGTCTGCAATCCAACAATCCTACTAGAAAAACACTTCACAGCACATTTATTTTAATAGCACCATCTGCAAAATCTTCACAGATACTACATTAATACATTGATCCCTGAATCAATCTATAGTTACCAGAATACCTCATGAACATGTGCTTTTCTCTCCAAAAAGATACTGAAAATTACCCTGCTTCATTTCTGGAAAACAACCTTTACCCCATCTCCTTTTATTTCCCCACTAACCTCCAAAATTCTACAGAATATATCTTTCTGCTTACTCAGTTTAAGGCAGCTCTTTATTCTACTCCCTGTTGTTATTTCATTCTTTTAGTCTCTCAATGTAATTATGCTAAAAATACATACAATAGAAAAATAATTAAAGATCTAGGTTTCTGCTGCAGCCTATCTTACATTATTTTAAATAAGATTAATTCTGAGTCTTTCAATTTCTCATAACTTATTTTTAATTTTTTAAACCACAGCTAATTATGAGAACCACAACATAACTATGAAATAGGAAATTTGCTTAAACTCACATTGCTCTGACTCTACATGCCATCAGGCAAATCTAAAAGCTTGAACAGCAACATACACACCTCCTTATAAAATTACTAGGAACAAATGGTACTTACTTGAGTTGTCCTTCAGCTGTATCTGGACTGTGTCTGTAGTGAAAATCAGTATAGGGTGCTAAAATTCGCTAATAAAAAAAAGGAGGAAAAGAAGAAGGAAAAAAAAGAGTCCTTATTATAAAACACATTCTTCCTGTAACAAGCTAAAATTAATTTCTCTATATCTTTATTGGGTATGCTGTTTGAAAATTTAGTTCTTCAAACTCTTCATCAAGGAATATATGAGTGATTTTTTATTTTATTTTAAGATTTTATTTATTTAACACAGAGAGAGAGAGAGAGAGAAAGAGCATGAGCAGGGGGGAGGAGCAAGGGGAGAGGGAGAAGCAGGCTCCCCACTGAGCAGGGAGCCAGATGCAGCCTCAATGCCAGGACCCCCGATCATGACCTGAACTGAAGGCAGACCAGACTGAGCCACCCAGGCGCCCAATTTGAGTGATTTTTTTAATGTACAAATTGAATTTCTGAACTTTTAAATTGAGGTATAACATGCATATAAAACAGTGCACAAACCATGAATGTAAGGTTTGGTGTATTTTCTCAAACTAAGCCCATTCCTGTAACTAGCACCAGATGAAGAAAACATCAGCATCCTTAAAGCCTCCTTATTCCCTCTTTAGATTCAGTCACTACCTACCCCAAGATTATTATCCTGACTTTTAAAACTATGACTCAGTTTTGCTTGCTTTTGAACATTACTAAGTGGTTCTATTTTATAAATTACCTTCTCCTTTCAGTGCTAGTATAAAAAAATCCAAGTTATTTGGTGTATTGTCCTTGTATTCAGCAATCTTGCTAATAAAGTCACTCATTTTAAACTTTTAACTACTAAATCTCATTTGCCAACTCTCCCGCCGTGCCTACTGCATTACTGTGGTCTAATTTTTAATATTAAATATAATTTAAAATACATAAGACATTATTAAAATTGCTTTTGACAATCAGTATTCTTTTATATTTAATCATATATTTGCCTTTTCTGTCATTATTCATTCCTTCCTGCATTTCCTTGTCTGTCTTAGATCATTTTCCCTCTGACTGAGGACTCCCTTTACTCTTTCTTTGTGTGTCTCATTTTTTAAACAACAATAAATATTTATTATCTCATATGGTTCCTGTGAGTCAGGAATCTATGAAACAATATTTTCTAAGTAACCGATGTAAGATATTACAAAATCATGCATAGGTAAAAGATCCTACAAAATCATGCATAGGTAAAAGATCCCTCACAGGAATCCTGTGAGGCTTAGCTAGGCAGTTATGGTTTAGGGGCCCTCATTAAGATTGCAGTCAAAATACTGGTCATGGCTACAGTCACCTGAAGACTTGACTGGAGCTAGAGGACCTGTTTCAAGATGGTTCACTCACAATGTGCTAATTGTCAGCAAGAGTTTAGCTCCTCCGCACAGGTACCTCCCCTTGGGCCATTTTAGTGTCTTCCTGACATAAGGACAAGTAATCCAGGAAAGAGTAGTGTGTGTTTGTTTTTTAAGATTATTTATTTATTTATTTGACAGAGAGTGAGTGATACAGCGAGAGAGGGAACACAAGCAGGGGGAGTGTGAGAGGCAGAAGGAGGCTTCCCGCAGAGCAGAGAGCCCTATGTGGGGCTCAATCCCAGGACCCTGGGATCATGACCTGAGCTGAAGGCAGACGCTTAACAACTGAGTCACCCAGGCTTCCCAAGAGTAGTGTTTCTTTACATTCTGTTTGGTCTTTTTTTTTCTTAGTCTCAAGAAAGCTTTTATTTTACCTTTGTTTTTGAAAGACATTTTCTCTGGGTTAGGCTGGCATTTTTTCCTTTCCGTGCTCTAAAGATGCCACTTTACTATGTTCTAGTTTCCATGATTTCTGCTGGGCATCAGCTATCAGACATGTTCCTTTGAAAGTAATATGGTTCCCCCCCCCCCGCCGAGCTGTTTTCAAGGTTTTTATTTATCTTGGTTTTCAACAATCTTACCATGATGTGCCTGTATGTTTTCTTTGTATTATCTTATTTGGAGTTTTGTGAGCTTTGGGAGCATGAAGTCTCATCAGTTTTAGAAACAAAAGTTCTGGCCATTGTCTCTTTGGGTATTTGCAACCATTTTCTCTTTCTTCTCCAAAGACAAAATTATGTTTCATCACCTTTGTTGTGTTCTATTCATCCCTTTCTTTTTCCTCTCTATGCTTTACCCTGGATATTATTATTGACTTTTCCTCTAATGTACTAATATCTTCTTGTCCAAGATTAATTTTTCATTGAGTTCAGAATTTCATGTATTATATTTTTCAGTACTGGAACTTCCATTGAAATCATCTGTGTATTTTTTTTTTAATTAATTTATTTATTTATTTGACAGAGAGAGAGACACAGCGAGAGAGGGAACACAAGCAGGGGGAGTGGGAGAGGGAGAAGCAGGCTTCCCTCAGAGCAGGGACCCCGATGTGGGACTCGATCCCAGGACCCTGGGATCATGACCTGAGCTGAAGGCAGATGCTTAACGACTGAGCCACCCAGGCGCCCCATCATCTGTGTATTTCAATTATCTAGTCAAATTCTCCGTTATTTTCTTTTTTTCTTCATTTTCCTAAACAAATTAAGCATGGTTGTTTTATTTATTTTTTTTAAAGATTTATTTGAGAGTGAGAGAAAAAGAGAGTATGTGAGCAAGCACAGGACGGGAAGGGCAGAGAGAGAGAGTGAGACAGTCCTAAGCAGACTTTGTGCTGTGGGGCTTGATCCCACAACCCTGAGATCATGATCTGAGCTGAAACCAAGAGTGGGATGCTTAACCGCCTGTGTCACCTGGGCACCCTACATGGTTGTTTTAAAGTCTTTCCCTCTAACTGCACTATCTGGATCACCTGTGGGCATGTTTCTATAGAAGGTTTTTCTTTTGGGTGTTTAGTCAAATGGTCATATCTTTTTGCATGACATTCAATCAAATTAATAAGTGAATGTCGGACACTGTGAATATTATAAAAGGTTCCAAATGATGTTACCTCCATCAGAAATGGTTTATCCTTTCCTCTGTTAGGTAGAATGGGGGGGGGGGGGGGGCTGATCATCTTATCCTTATCACCAACTGTGTTAAATTGAGACTACATTGTAATTTTGAGAAGACTGAGTATACCTTTGGTTTTCCCGTGTTCTCATGTATAGTCTTCCAGGGCTTTCAATAGAGAGCTTAGCAAATATTTTTCTCTTAGCAATGAGAAACTGGTAATCTTTTCTACATATTTCTTAAGTTTTGAATTTAAATCTTAGCTACCCATCCAGAAAAGCTTCAGAATTTGGGATATGTCAAGAACAAGAAATCAGCTATGAAATACCCAGTTTTGTCATTTTAGTACCATACAAATGCCAAAAGCTCCTTTGGTTTTTCTGATCCCAGCAAAGGCCTGCCGGGATTTTCAGTTTTTCCAATTATATATTGATCAATAAATGGCCCCAAGGAAAAAAGAAATTGCATATAACCAGTGTAAATTCACTACTTCTTTCGGGCCTTTCAATTGCTGCCCATGGCCCCTCCTAGAAGGCCTTTGCATTCTATGAACTGGGGACTACAGCATATTCCACTGTGCTTTCCTCAGGTTTTGACATCTTGGCTTTTGCCCTGCACAGTCTTGTTTCAGCAAATACCTAAACGGGTACATCAGACTTAGTCTAGGGACTTTTCTTATCTCTAGGCTTACCATACCTGCATGACTGCCAAATACTCTGGTCTACTAGGCCCACATCATGTTCTTAGCCTTTAGCCTGTGCCCCAAATCTGCAAATGCCCCCAAGGGCATCTGTAGATATTCAGGGCAACTCTCAAAGAATCTTCCCTCTAACAAATTTCACTCTCTCTGGCCCTTACTGCTTTCACAGCTCTATACTGCTTTAAATATATGACTTTCATAATTATCCTGCTTTTCTAGCTTCCATAGCAGATGCTATGAACTACCTTATTCTACTCTGAAGTGTAATTTTAAAAGATAATAGTTTTTAAAAATTAGTATAAAAAATTACAATTGATTTACAACCCTTACAGACTGTCTATTCTGGTAACATTATATTATATCCACACATTTTCCTGTCTGAGGTCAAAACATATTACAGATAGCAGAAATAAAAGCCAGGGTAAATTTAAAAAGGGATTTTTAAGAGGAGGAAGATTTGGGCCTAACAACAGATACAGCAGCACTGAAAATAGTTCCTTTGTATGGAGAAATGGAAATCATAGTATGAATTTGGAATCAAAATTTGTAAAATATAATTAATAAAAATGAGGACAATGTTCTCTTAGCAGACTATATAATAAAGATGATGATATTAAAGTTGATGATGAAGAATAATATCCAAGGTAACCAGTATTTGCTGAATATTTACTATGTGCTAGGTACTGAAGTACCTAGATTAGAATTTTATGTAGATTAGAATTAACATATGTAAAGAACCTGGAAATACTCACTCATTATAAGCATTACATGAGTGTTAGCTGGTGGTATTACTACTACTATTATTATTATTACTTATTGTTCACAATAATTCTTTAAGGTGAAAACCATGACCTTCATTTTACCTAAGGAAAAAATGGGTCCAAGAGAGTCTCCTAACTTGTCCAAGTCATAAAGCTAGTATGTCATAGCGCAAAAAAATCAAAACCAGATCTGTATAGCCCAAAGTCTTTGCTCTAAATCACTATGCTATTCTGGGGGGATCCTGTTAAAGGAGAAAAGAACAAACATTTGTGGTTTTAAAGAAATAGATATAAGCAAAGACACTACTGTATTTAAATGCCTACCATATTCTTTTGAGTTTTTTTTTTACTTAACAAAGGCTTTGCTAATCTGCTTTATAATTACATAGGAATAAAAAACAGGCCTACACATATTATCTTCCTTTATTGTAGTCATCTCACCAATCCTAAAATTATAGTTCTACTTGATTAAAAGAAAAAAAAAACTTACACTAAACATATGATAAAATATCAAAAATGCTAGTTTATTCCCAATGGACTCCCATAAATAATGACTGTATTTGAAATCACTTATTGAGGAGAAAATTGTACTTATTTATTAGTTAATGATAAAAGCTGTCACTTTTATAATCTCAAATACTTCTACTGGCCCTAATAAAACCAGAACTATAAGATTTAAGACAAATTTCATAAAATGATTTAGACATACACGCTAGAGAACAATACTATACTTTATACTTTGCATAATTTCATACCCAAATATAAACAAAACCTTGGTTTAATCTTACTCTGAATGGCATCTACAATGGACAACAATGTAGTACATTCACACAGAAAAACTGTAAGATCAGTTTGCGGTAATTCTGTTCCAACCTCTACTACACACTTTATTATAAAAAAGAGTACGTAGCAGTCTTATTATTTTAGACTAACTGTAAAAAAACACTGAATTAGTAAAAAAAAAAAAAAAAAAAAATTAAACTGTAGTGTATTTTAAAAAGAAAGATCTGTATTCTGTTTCTTTCAAGTATATATGGTCATTAGTTGCTAACAAGTGCTTCTAGGTTCAGAGACTTTTAGCATGGGTTAATAAATAAATAGTATATAATGAGCGGGAGCTATTCACCCAACGTACTAAAGTTCTTAAAAAGAAATGGTTCTCTTAAATAAGTAGGTAAATGTATATGCAACCTCACTTGTACTTTAACTGGCTTAATAAAGTTTTCACAGATAATAAAAAAAATAAACTTCACTTTACATGTTGATGAACGATTCTTGAGAATAATATTTTCAATTCAGTCCAAACTGAATAAGCCATAAAATATTGCTGGGGATAAGTCAGTCTTAATTAAATTGTTTGATAATTAACGTTGTGCTGCATCTATTAACTTAAAAATTTCAAAGTAAGACTATGTATGTATTTAAAGCCATCCTGTAAAACTAGAAAAGGATATTAAAGTTCCTACCTCTAATTCTACATCAGCTCGCACATACTGTCGGGTCTTTGGATGATTAAGGAGGTGCAAAATTGTAGTAATGAGGGCTTCATTTATTCGACTTAATTGGCAATCGATCACATTTTTCAGGATGGTGTTTAGTCCACCTCGAAGGGCCACCACCTCTGGATTCTGAAGTGCTAAAACAAAAAAGAAAAACTTAATAAAGTATATAGGGGATAAATAATAAAAAGTAATCCAGAAATCTGGGATTTTATCTTGAAACAATTTCCTTTCTGACTTGAAAAACTTTCTAGTCAAAGACATTTAAAACGTGGATAAAATGTATCTAATAAGAGTCATTGAATATACTCTTCCCAAAACCCAAATTTTTTTTTTAATGTCACTGAATTGCTTTTTTATATCCTTTGTCCATATTTTACTGAAATGGCTCTTCTTTCCTATCAATTGCAAGAAGTTGCTCATTTAATGTGGCTATATTAGCCGTTCGTCTATTTCAAATCTTTTATCTGCTTTGCAATTTAACTTTAGATTTTAATCTCGGATTTTAAACTCAGAAATTCCTCCCTTACTTCAAAGATCAGGCATTTTCTGATCATGCCCGCACATACAACTGTGTGCTTTAAATGAGTTCATGATTATACATTCCAGTTTTCAATCTGTCGGGAAAGTGAGTTTAATCAATTTAATTTAATGTTTAATCAATTATCCCAGCATGCTTCCCAAACTGATTTTATCCTTCTGGTATACTAAAGTTTTCTATATACCAGAGTCTGCAACTCAATTCCTTTCCATTTTTCTCTCTTAATAACCTAGCTTAATAGTTTTTGTAAAAATACATTAAAAAAAAAAACCCTTTCCCTTCCCTTCCATTATTGTTTCTCAAAAATGTTTTCATGGTTGGATCTCTCGTGTTTATTCTAGCCTAACTTTAGAATTAGGTTTCTTCTGTTTTTTTCTAAATTGAGGTATATATAGAAATTTATGTAGATTAGAATTAACATATGTAAAGAACCGGGAAATACTCACTCATTATAAGCATTACATGAGTGTTAGCTGGTGGTATTACTACTACTATTATTATTATTACTTATTGTTCACAATAATTCTTTAAGGTGAAAACCATGACCTTCATTTTACCTAAGGAAAAAATGGGTCCAAGAGAGTCTCCTAACTTGTCCAAGTCATAAAGCTAGTATGTCATAGAGCAAAAAAATCAAAACCAGATCTGTATAGCCCAAAGTCTTTGCTCTAAATCACTATGGATCACTAATCCATATCACTAATGTCTAAAATACAGACATTAGTGTATGGTAGTGTACCTGTGTATGTTTCTCTCCAAGTAACATAGATTATTTTAAATAATCAATCTTGTTCTCTAATTAGGACACTTAATTTCATTGTTGCTTTCCTCCTGCTTACCTTAAAATTGATTTTTTTTCCTTCTTTTTCTATTTCTTGGGCTTATACACTTATTTTCACTGTTTTTTGCTTAAGTATAAAAGCATTTTATGATAAGAAGTTAACTCCGAGTATAGCTTTCCAAGCATCCTATACACTGACATGTCAAATTTATATTACTTTCAAAATGTTCTTAACTTTCCGACTTTGTCTATAAATCAATATGTACTGTGAACAGTACCTTTAAATCTTCAATAATAAGGTTTGATTCTCTGAAATTTAGTTTATGATTTTGTTATTGTTTATTATATCAAGAGTGAATGTAACCTACATCAGCTCTACTTTTGATGGGAAAAAAAATATCTTCTCTTGTCATTTAAAATTATATTTTTTGGTTTTAAGTGAGGTTGAACTTTTTAAATTTGTTGATTAGCCATATATTTCTTGAGAATTATTTATTTTTCCTATTTATCTGTATATAAATAAGTTATTTACCTATCATGTTTGTACATTTATTTTTTGTTTGTTCCAGCACTGCATGTTTTTTTGTCTCCTTATAATAGAATCTATAGCTGCTGAAATCTGTTTATTTCTTTTGATAATTCAAGACTCCTTTTTCTTACAGTGATCAGATAAATGCTCATCCATTTTTTTCCGTTTTTCCCCATTTAACTCTAATCCTTTTGCATTTAGATTTTTTTTTTAATGTATGAGTTTGTTTTTTTTTTTTTAAAGATTTTATTTATTAATTCATGAGAGACAGAGAGAGAGAGAGAGAGGCAGAGGGAGAAGCAGGCTCCCAAGGAACAGGGAGCCTGATGCGGGACTCAATCCCAGGACGCTGGGATCATGACCTGGGCCGAAGGCAGACGTTTAACCATCTGAGCCACCCAGGCGCCCTGATAGATTGTTTTTTAACCGACATTAAGATATTGTGTGGTTAACTAATGTCTGAGAACCAGACTTAAAGCAATTTTATTCTAAACACTGGAATTTGGACAATTTCTATATTCCTATAAACAAAATTTTTCATATCTTTGTAGCAATAACTAAGAATTCATTCATGAAAGGCATTTTAAAATGTCATATTCTTATATTCTTTCTAAAACATTGTATTTTTATTACTTGGAGAAAATTCTGACCCAGTTCACATTAAAAAATGTTACATTCTTATATATACACTTCCTAAAATGCTTCATTTTTATTACTTGAAGAAAATTCTGACCTAGTTCACATATAATGGCAATGCATGCTCGGACCATTCTGTCTCTTTCCTGAAGTCCATCATTTCCAACTGCTATTAATGAGTTGGCCACAGAGCTAGGAAACAAGGAAGCATTCACAGTAATCATCTGTAACAGGGAGGAATCAGAAAAAGAAGTTATTTACTTCATAATACATGTTTAAAAGCTATTTTGTTCAGATTGAGGTGTTTATAACCATAGAACATTTATAAGATCCAGGCATCAAATTTAATCTTCTTCTTCATATGAACATTTCAAAGGGTTACTATAATGAATAACTGATGCAATAAATGTTAATACTTGTTACTATGGAAAAATGTTGGCTTCTTTTTCTAATAGTTCAGACTATAAATCAATTAAATGACAAGATTTAATGTTTCTGAGAGTCTAAGCTCCTCTCAAATAGGAACTATATTTTATACAACTTTTCAGTACCTAGACAAAGGAAATCAGTGGTAAAAACAGCTGTCAACACGCTTACTGTACTATTCCATTCCGGACTCTTACCCATATAATCGCCACCAAGTCCTGTCCTACCAATTTACCTCACTATCCATATTCTCTCTCCCATCAAACTCTAACTTGGGTCCTCATTCTTTCTCACTTTACTGCAACAGATGCCTAATAATCTCCCTATCTCCTACCACCACTTGTTGCTATGCCAAAAGGTAAAGTTAGTAATCCATAATCTATTTTTAATACTTCAAGAAGTATGATGCAAATAGTGTATTTCTGGTGACAAAACTTTGGATGAATCTTACTTTAAATGAAAAGTTTAATTGGCAATAATATATTTGGAATACTGAAAATAGCTAACATATCTTCAGTGTGGAAATTAGAAAGAAAACAAATTACATAGTTAATGACTAATAAAGACTGGTAGATGAACAATGTCAAAATAACAGGTCTCTCGAGTAGGGATAATTAATTTGTATTGGATGTTACTGGATTTATAATCCTATGTATCAAGGGCAAGTGATTCCCTAAATGAATCCCTTTCAACTATAAAAAATCTGTGTTATGTTAATCTCTTACTACATGAATAAAGAAATAATATATGAGGAAAATTGATGGTTAAATTAGGCAGGCAGTAAGTATAATTTCAATTGGATAGAGTAGTAACAGCTGAAAAGTGGGAAAATTATATAGAAAACGAGAGAGACAAAAACCAAGAAGGATTCCCTGGATTGGAGAGAAAGGGAAAAAAAAAAATCAGAGACACTGAAAATGAGCACACAAACAAAAAATCTTCCAAATGAATGAGACAGGAGAAAGAGAAGGAAAAATAACATGAATTTCCTTAATTACTCATCGAGTAAGTTATCCTAAAGCAACAAATGTTTCTTCCTTTTCTTTAAAATAAAGAAGATTAATACTTTAATAGAAAAATTTAAAACTTTTAAAATGCATACAAAAAAACCCCACAAAAACACAGTGACCTAGCCATTATAATATTAACATTAATTTCTACTAGCTCCGTTGCCAAGATGTTGCTGAAAAAAAGAAATATGTGCTTTGGTTGTTAAAAATACTACTGAAATTACAGTTCCTCTAACCAATAGAGGCCGCTATTCATTCAGCAAGTATGCTTCCCTTTTAACTCTATCTGCTTTTAGCTAAACCAAGGAGGAACCCTGCACCACAATTCCTCTGAGTCTACATCCTACCATCAGGTATAAGCAATTTTCCTGCTCTTGGATTCACAAATGATATCTGTCTCAAATTAGTCTGTATTTTAGAAGATAACAGAAGAAAACAATATTTTTGTAATAGCATTACTAAATTGTTAAGGGTCTGTTTACTTTTACTGGGCTATTTCATAAACTAAATTGTATCATGCCAAAACATTTTACAAAACTGAAATAAAATATTTACTGAATAACTCAAAGAAGCTGAATTTAATTGCTTGAATCTATCTGGAATAATGCAATTTTTAGGGCAGCAATTTTCAAAGTTTGGTCCAGGAAACAAGGGTCTCTAGGATATTTTCAGAGATTCTGTGAAGTTAAAATTATTTTAATAAAATACAAAGACATTATTTGTCTTTTTTACTCTCAGTCTCTCAGAAGTATATACTGAAGTATACCAGAGGCTCTACTGAACATGAAATCACAACAGATTGAATGAAGAAGCAACTATGACAATCCAGCTCCTACCTTCCATCAAGACAAACACTAAAGACATTTGCAAAGATCTAAAATAATGCCATTCTGTTAAGTTTCTTTCGGAAAATATATTTTTACAAAAATATGTTTATATGTGATGGGTTGTTATTTTTAATATGCTAATATATATTTTAATTGCTCACTTATAATTCCTAGTATGATAAATATTGACATATATACACCTCAAATAGCCAGAAAGTTATTCTAGGTTCTTCAGAAACAAATTTTATTTTCTTATCTTGAATTCTCAAAATCATGGCAGTAGGAGAGACTATGAATAAGTAAAAACCATAAATCTAATTTTTAAATTTAAATTTGAGGAGTCAAATCACAGTCCCAATATGACACTTTACCTACCACAAAAATATTGTAATCTATCTTCAATATCACTCTTACTAGAATTGTAGATTTCTTTTAAGACACTCATCCATTTACCTCTTCCTTACTATGCTCACCTGTGGGTATTATTACTAACCCCAAGCTGGACAATTGGAAGAAAAAAGAAAAAGAGGAGATCTAGTTAATGTACAAATTCAACACTCTACCATTCTGAAGTATGCACTGAGCTCAAAGATGGGTAAAGAGGAGAAGGGTTAAAATTTTTTTTTAAATACTTTAATTTTAGATGTTTTTACATTAAAACAACTATATACTGCATACGTCTCATAAATGGTTAGGATGAAACATGAAAATATTCTTACATAACTGTGTCCTAACCAAGTTAACTCTTAGTTAATTGTTTTGCCATTAGGGCATCACATTAAATAACAACAAAAAATTCCCTGAAAACCTATCATTGGAAGCATTAATGGGTTATCCCTAACACCCTTTATTGCAGAATTTAGATTCTGACCTGTCCTGTACAACAGTCTGAACTGCTTATTGAAACTGCCTATGGACTATATCTAAATTCGTCTTCAAAACAACCAGCTTGTAACTCTTTGCCACGTCCATTTAATGGCATTAACTCCAAGCATGCAAATAAGAGAAAAGTAGAGTGGGGAACAAGTAATCCTTTTTCTCTAATAATATATCAAAAAAGCAGTAATTTCATTTACATGATTACTAAGGGAAGAAATACAGTAGTTCTTCCCTACTCCTTTATCCATGGGGGATATGTTCCAAGACCCCCAGTGGATACTGAAACCACAGACAGTACTGAACTCTATATATAAACTATACTAAAAGTCCTGAAAGTCTTACCAGGAACATAAACAATTAACATATATTTTGTATATGTTTTATATACTATGTTCTTACAATAAAGGAAGCTAAAGAAAATCGTAAGAGATAATACATTTACAGTTCTGTACTCTATTTACTGAAAAAAATCTATATAAGTAGACCCATCAAGTTCAAAGGTCAAGTATACTATTTTTTACTGTACATACAGATCTACGATAGAGTTTAATTCATAAGTTAGGCACAGCAAGAGATTAATAATAAAATAGAACAATTATACTATAATAAAATGTATATGAATGGGGTCTCTCTCTCTCTCAAAATAGCTTAATGTACTGTACTCACCCTTCTTGTGGTGATGTGAGACGATAAAATGCCTATGTGATGAGATGAGTGAGGTGATGATGTAGGTATTGTGACATAACATTACAGATCTTCTAACCATATGGCAGAAGGAAAACCATGGTAACCAAAACTCTGGGTAAGAGGTGAGGGTGAAGGGGGAGGGGGGAAACTACTGTATTCTTTACAGTGAATATTTTATTAAAAAATATTGTCCTAGCTGTACCCAGTCGCATAGAATAATTACACAAAATATTTATGCTCACCTCTAAGCTTAACAGACCTATTTACCTCATATAATTTTATCAAACAAAAATGTTTAACGAAAATTTAGCCTTTAAATTTTAATATAAAGATTTCACAAAACAGTCTAAATCTAAAAATGTAAAATACTTAACATAAAAACCAAAAATCTACCTTCTCCCTCAGGCATAGATCGTACCTTTCTGACTAATCGAAGTGCTTGTGTCCTCTCTACCTCGTTGCTCTGCTGTATGTCAATGCACCTAAATAATACACAAAATATTAAGTTATTGATAAAAATCTTATTAAACAATTTCTTTGTATAATACCACCAGATCAGACCTATCTTCATAATGTTAATATGGTACTTTAAAATTTTAACATGATTTTAACACCAGCAGACATTTATTTAATTAACTTACATCCAGTTCTGATAAATATTTGCTATAATAAAGCATTTCAAAACTATTTCATTTAAAACTCCAGAAAAGAATATATTTACAGAATTATATATATCAATAGAGAAATAATAAACATATTTATAAAGCCAAGTATCAGAAATCTACTGAAAAAAGAATTCACCTATCTTTGATAAAAATCTGCAATTTTATAAAAATTGTGAAGAAAACATTTCCAGCTTATATTTTAGTTTAAATGTGATTTTTAGGGGCATATGGGCGTCTCTGTCGGTTGAGCAACTGGCTCTTGATATCAGCTCAGGTCTTGATCTCAGGGTTATGAATTCAAGCCCCGTGCTGGGCTTCACACTGAGCATGGAGCCTACTTAAAAAAAGTGATTTTAACCAGGGCCTACATTTTATATATTATGACTATGTTAAAAGTCTCATATACTAGCCACAATAATTCTATTTTATGAAATATAATTTAATATGTAAATGCACGTCAAAAATTAATGCTCAGATACCACTTAACTGACATTTTTCTGTAAAACTTATTAAATTACCAATTTCTTAAGTCTTTGGTTTATGTAGCCGAATAATTAATTTTTACTTATGTTTAGGTAGTTCACTATTCTAATCAATTCATATAGTTTGCTACTCAAAAAGCATTTCTTCTATCTGAATACAATTAAATCTAAAACAATTTTATTAAGAAATGAACAATTCAATTTGTGGCCACATCAGAGAGGCTGGATCACACCACCCCTCTAGCCAAAAACAACTGTAAAGGGTAAGCAAAATATATTTTTTTAAATTTTTATTTTTCTTAAGATTTTATTTATTTGACAGAGCGAGACCCAATGAGAGAGGGAACACAAGCAGGGGGAGTGGGAGAGGGAGAAGCAGGCTTCCCACTGAGCAGGGAGGCTGATTCAGGGCTCGATCCCAGGACCCCGGGATCATGACCTGAGCCGAAGGCAGACACTTAACGACTGAGCCACCCCGGCGGCCCACAAAAGACTTTTTAAAAACTGTTAAAAGGGCAATGGATAATAATCCCTGGAAAGAGATGCACAAGCTTCACATCCAACCAGGCTTTGTCCCTAGGGGCACTTGTCAACAGTTTTAGGGGAACAGAGTCCCAACAGAAAGCAAAAGTCTTTCTGGACTGGAGAGACAGGTTGAACTTTAGTGCAGCCAATGTGGCTGTGACTTGAGGGGAAAAAATTCCAGAGAAAAGGAAACATGGGAAAGTGAATGCAAATCTTCATGCAAGCTCCTCTCCAAGGCACTTGCCAATCTCTATGTTGTGCAAAAACAAAGTAAAAATCCAAGGAACCAAACAAAAAGTTAATGCCAAGAAGCTAAGGAAGTAAGCAGAAATTTGAGCAGGTACGTAACTCTCTAGATAGATGTTATAGCTCAAGGCTCGTCAAGCTGAAGAGGTTCTGCTAAACATTTACAACTGTCATTTGAGATCCCAAAGAACCACTCCGTAGATCAAAGAAAAAGCTAAAACTAAACTTTTTAACAAAATCAGTGTGATAAGCCAACTTTCTAGAATAAATAAACCTTAACTCTCTTAAGAGGAAAACAGCATGATCCAGAGCCAAAGATTTTGAATATGCAATATTCACATCCAATCATGTAATAATATGAGGTATGCTTTAAAATAAACAAAGGGTCAAGTAACTAAAAACCAAGAAAAGAAAAAGACAACAGAAATAGAACACAGGTGATTCACATATTGGTGTTGTCTTAAGAAGGCTATAAATCACTATGATAAATATGATCAAGTAAATAGAAGGAAACATGGTGAAATAAAGCAGCGACCTAGAATCTTTAAATAAGAGTAAAACAAATGATAGAAATACAGTAACTGAAATTAAAAATTGAAGAGAATGATTTAATAGCAGGATGGAAGAAAAAAACAGGTGAGTAGAAAGTAAACACATTAAAGCACAAAGATTAACAACAAAAACTGAAAATACAGTAAGAACATCAGAGACATGTGGAAGAGTGAACAGATTCAACACTATATAGCTATATAGCTGGAGTATGAGAGGATATGAGAGAAGAATGAATGAATAGAACAGAAGAAAAACTTTAAAGTAGCCAGAAAAGAAAAAGATACATCACTTCAAAGAAGCAATAAGAAGAGACTACTTACTGTTCACCAGGTTAAAAAAAAAAAAGTCCAGAAGACAATAACCTATTTAAAGCATTAAAAAATAGGAACTAGTCATAAAAACAGCCTTCAAATATGAAGGCAAAACAGAGGCATTTACAGACAAAAAAAAAAAGATGATAGAATTCATCTTGAGTATACCAGCACTAAAAGAAACAGTAAAGGAAATTTATTAAACAGAAAGTGATGCAAGATGAATAAAAATGTATAAATGCAAGAAGGAAGGATATTGGAACGGGTAAATAATGTAGGTAAATATCAACAGTTCCAGTTTAGGGGTACCTGGGTACCTCAGCAGGTTAAGTGTCTGACTCTTGGTTTCGGCTCAGGTCATGATCTCATGGGTTGTGAGATGGAGTCCTGCATGGGGCTCCACACTCAGCAGGGTGCCTGCTTAAGATTCTCTCCCTCTGCCCCTCCCCCCATGCTCTCTCTCTCTCTCTCTCTCTCTCTCTCTCTCTCTCAAATAAATAAATAAAGCTTTAAAAATATATAACAATAGTTCCAGTTTAAAACAATAACAAAACTATCTTGTAGGGCTACAAATATATGTAGAAATAAAAACTATAGCAATAATACAAAAAACAGAGGGAAAATGATATAAACTATAAGAGTTTTCCTAGATTGTTCTGGTTGTAATAAAATACTAAACCTTAGTATCAAGGATATGAGTTGTAATCTCTAGGGCAACTACTAAAAGAAGAGAAGACCTTATAACCAAGATATTAATAGAAGAGGAAAAGAAATTCTTGACTATTCCAAAAGAAACAGGAGATACATAAGAACAAAGAACAGATACGACAAATCTCAAGATACAAACTCAAATACATGAGAAAATTAACCACAAGATGAACAGACTCATAAACATACAAATCATTACACTGCATAAAGCCCACAGACCATGCATATAAAAATCCACTAGACAGTCTAAATATTCTACTTAGAGGACAAAGACAGTCAAACTAGATTTAAAAACAAACAAAAAACCTTATGATGTTTTTAGGCCAGAAACTTTAACGTAAGGACAAAAACAACAGAAAGTAAAAGGATGGTAAAAGATCTATCCTGCAAGCCCTAAATCAAAGTGAGTATAGCCATATGAATATAAGATAATATGAACACTCATAATAAGAGAAGTATTACTAGGAATAAAAAGGGACATTTCATAACTATAAAAAGATTAGCCCAATGTGAAGGTTTAACAATTCTAAATATGAACGTAGTAACAAAGCTTCAAAATATATAATGACTAAAAGGAGAAAATCTGAATAGTACTATATCTGCTGAAGAAATAGAATCCATAATCTTAAAACTTCCTTAAAAAGGGATGGCTGGGTGGCTCAGTAGGTTAAGCATCTGCCTTCGGCCCAGGTCATGATCCCAGGGTCCTGGGATTGAGTCCCACATCAGGCTCCTTGCTCAATGGGGAGCCTGTCCCTCTGCCTGCTGTTCCCCCTGCTTGTGCTCTCTCTCTCTCTGACAAATAAACAAATAAAATCTTAAAAAACAAAACAAAACAAAAAAAATTCCTAAAAAAGAAAACCCTATGCTCAGACAGATTCACTAGTGAATTCTACTAATCATGTAGGAAAAAAAAACAATACCCATCTTACATAAATTCTTCCAGAAAATATAAAAATAGGGCAACATTTCCCTAGTTGTTTTACAAAGCAAAAAAAATCCTGATACCACAACTAAACAAGGACATTAGAAGAATGGATAAATATAGGCCAATACCTCTCACGAACTTAGCTACAAAAATCTTCAACAAAATATTAACAAACCAAATTCAATTAATATTTAAAAAGGACAAAACACACAGTTAACATGGGGTGTTTACTTTAGGAATGCAAACAAGGAACATAAATCCACAAAAAGCCTACAGCAAGTATCATAAATAACACCAAAGTACTGAATACTTTTAACCCGAGTTCAAGAGCAAAACAAAGTTGTCCACTATCACTATTTCTAGTCAGTGTAATATTCTAACCAGTGCAATACGGCAAGAAAAAGAAAGATACAAGGATTGGAAAGGAAGAAATAAAAGTCATCATTTGCAATTAATGCTATGTACACAGAAACTCTAAAATAATTTTTAAACAATTAGAATTGAAAAGTGAATCTAGCAAGATCACTAGGTAAGAGTTTAGTATCCAAACCCAAAACCAAAAATAAAAACACACAATTCTTTTTCTATATATTAACAGCAAAAAATATGAAAAAGAAAAAATTTAACTTACATTAATACTCTCATAAAAAATATCTTAGAATGAACAATAGCAAGTATGTGCAAGACCTCTGCACAGAAAACTACAAAATACTGTGGAAATTAAAGTTCCAAATAAATAAAGGCTTAGAATAGTCAATGTTATTAAGATATCAATTCACCCCAAATTAATCTTGAACTTCAATGCAATTACTACTAAAATCCCAGAATGTTTTAAGGAAATGGATAAGTTGATTCTAAAATTTATATGAAAATGTAGAACATAAAATAGCCAACAGTCTTAAGGAAGAAAAATTGGAAGACTTATACCAACAGATATTAACATTTACTATCAAGTTGCAGTCATTAAAACAGTGAGAAACGGGCAAGAATAGACAAACTAAAAATAATAGGGAACACAAAAACAGATCCATACTTATCAGTTATCTAGTTTACAACAGAAGTGTCACTAATCTAGACACAGAGGATAATCTTTTCAATAAATCCTGCTAAAATGTACTGCATATCCATAAAAATAAAAATTATCATGACCTAACACCTAATTAAACATATATAGAGGAATAAAACCTTTTAGAAGAAAACACAGAATAGTATCTTCCAAAGAGTCCAAGAGCATTAACTACAAAATTGGATTTTATTAATTAGGAAAAGAGAAAAGGCAAAACAGACTGACTTGGAGAAGATATTGTCAAGACATATACCTGAAAGGAATCATATCTGGAACATTAAGAACTCCTATATGAGACAGGCAGATAATCCAATTTACAAATGAGCAAATGACAAGGAGGATATTCAAATAACCAACAAACAAATGAAAGATGCTTAACATCATCACTACTCATTAGGGAAATGCAAATTAAAACCACAATGAAACTCACAGTGAACACTACAGCAGAAAGTCTACAATTAAAAACTAAAAACAAGTGCTGATGAGAATGTAGAGAGCCTGGAACTCTCAAACATTGTTGGTAGGAATATAAATCGGTACAATCACTATGGAAAACTGGCAGTATGTAGTAAAGCTAAACAGACATAAACCTATGACCCAGCAGTTCCACTCCTACATATATACCTAAGAAAAATGAGTGCATATGTCTACCTACAAGAATATTCAGGGCAGCTTTATCCAAAATAGCCAAAAACTGGAAACAACCCAGAAAATCACAAACAGAATGGAATAAATTATAGTCTGTTCATAACATGAAATACTACACAGCCTTAAAAGAAAAAAACAACATGGATACATCTCTGACAAATAACACTGAGGAAAGAAAAGAATAACCATGTATTTTTCCGATATATGATGCTCAAGAACAGGAAAAACTGGTTTATAATGAGAAAAGGCAGAGTAATGTTTCCTACTGGTTGAAGACACAGGGGAACTTGACTGGGATGTAGAAAATACTCTTACTCAGGGTAATGGAGTACTTGGTTGTATATATCTCTAAAAATTATCAGGCTTTACACTAAAAATATGTACACTTCACAATAGGTATGTTAAAACTTAAAACATAATTTTAACAACAGAGACAGCTCTAGGAAAATTACCTTGCTATTAAATAGTCCACTTTCAATTTTAGCACCTTCTGCAGAATACTGGAGTCTTGGATGAGATATCGAAGAGCTCGCAGGCCTGCTGCCCGCACTTCTTTTGCTTCATTCAATAAAGCTAACCGCAAACTGCATAGAAACAAAAAAAGTTTTGCTACATGAGTTTCAAATACACATAAAATTATGGTACCAAATTCTCCCTCAGTTGCATTAAGCAAAACTACTAGTGATTTTATATATAAAAATCATTCACTATAACAGCCATGGAACTTCACTAATATTGTTATTTTTTAATCTGTGCTGCCTTAGCACATTCTTACTAATCAAGAAAATGTTATTTTATTCTACCTTCTGTACTTTATTTTATATAAACAATGGGAAATTAAATATGCCTTTGTCAAGGTGTATCACATATGCCTCTACAATCTATTCTCCTCTGCCTACCTGCTTCCACTCCTCAATGAATCACTGGTTTAAATCAATAAATATTTTGTGACAGTAGGCACAGCTATATAAATTTTAATTCCCAAGCACACCAAAAAGATGGCTATGAAATTATAACATTATGTCTCTGTTGGTGGACTTGAGAAAATAAAGTTTGCCATAAGCACACTTTGTTTTAAGTGAGGTCTAGAGATAATCATACAGGTTCTTCTTCTTGTTCTTAGGAAAATTTAAGAACTTTTGTTCTGTGAATTTCATGTTTAATTTAGAAGTTTAAATTATAGAAATCCAAGTATTTCCCATCATTAGCTTTGATTCTTTATATTTGATAATTACAAAGCATCAGTAAGAACAACAGGATAACCAAAAATATTGGACATCTTGAATTTTTCTAATGTTCAAACAGCTGTTTCTACAAAATCAAATATAATGTGTTATACTATCCTTTTAGTTTAAAATTACTAGAACTGAAATTACTAAAACCCAGAGGGGTGAGGGAGGGAACTAAACTATACTTACCAAATTATGATATCCTCATAGTTAAAACCCAATTTTTCTTCACTATGGCCAATATCACAAAGAAGCTGTCAGAAAAACAAAAGTATATGAATATGTGTTATGTATTTTTGTCTGTTTATATTTACATTACTTTTTTAGACTGAAAAGTAAGGTATTTTTCTTTAACAAAATTCCAGAAAATATATCTACTGTTCAAATATGCATATTTATTTCTATCGCCTTATTGTTTTTGTTTTATTTGACCTGCCAGTTTTAGATTTCTTTAACCCTCCTTTTTGCTGTCATTTGAATCAACCAATTACTTCTTATTATTCCATTTCTCCCCCCTCAATAAGTTTACTATTTTAAAACTATTTTTTAATGGTTACCATTGAAATTACAACATACGTTATTAATTAATCACAGTCTAAAGAGAAACTATTACCATGTCCTCAACAATGCTAGACTCTTGACACTTGAACCTCATTTACTTGCCTCACCTTTCACTTTACTGATGTCTTTTTCTCTTTCAAGCCCCATGAAACATAATACTGTTATTTTTATTTTGTTAATATTTAGTCAGTATCAATTTATATTTATCCACAAATTCACCTTTTCCATTATTCTTCACGTTAGTGGTATCTTAATGGGATATTCTTCCTTCTGTCTAAAGAATCCTCAGTTTGTTGTTGATTTATTTTATTGGTGTTTTCATTTATTTAATTTTTAGCCAAGGTTGCTGGTAACAGATTCTTTTGACTTTTGTTTGCCTGGAAATTTTTTTTTTCACTTCTGTTTTTGAAGGATATCTTGCTGGATTTATAGATTTTTAGGTTAGCTGCTATTTTCTTAAAAGCTTCAACATGGTTTCCACTGTCTCTATTGAAAAGTCTGATATCAGTCTTACTATTAGCTCCTTTGAAGGTCAGATCCTTTTTCTCAGACTCCTTTCAAGATTTTTTTTCTTTATCTTTGGTTTTCAGCAATCTTACAGTTCAGGTGTGGTTTTCTTTTTATCTATCCTGCTTAGGAAAAACAGAAATTCCTGAATCTCTGGGTTGATATATTAGTTTTAGAAAATTCTGTACATTCTCTCTTCAAAATTACTTCTGCCCAATTTCCTCTCTTCTTTCTGGAATTCAAATATCAGATCCTTTTGTGTATACTGCAAGTCTCTAAAACCTCTTTTGTATTTTCTCCATTCTCTTTCATCTCTGGTTGGATATTTTCTATTCATTTGTCTTCCAGTACAGCTAATCTTCTATGTAGTTTTTTGTTTTAGACATTGTTTTTTCCCTTCTTGAATTTTCATTTCACTTTACACATATCCAATAATAAAAAATCTTCTTTTTTACCTATTCTCTCCAAAGTTCCTCTATTTTCTTGACATACAAATCATACTTTAAATATTTAAAGTGCTATTATCTAAATGAATGTGAATGATGTAGACCATCTCTGGATCTGTTTCTACTATGTTTTTCTTTTTGTTGTAGTCATGTAGTCCTGCCTTTTGGTGGATCCTATAATCTCTCTATATAAAAACTTGCAGAGATTCCTGATATTATCTTTCTCCACAGAGGATTTATCCTTCTCTTTGTTAGGTCACTGGACAATACTAAGTACAGATAAATTGCTGCTCTGATAAGACTCAGTCTACCTCCAGTTTTTCCTTTTCCTCCTTGTTCCCCATGTTTCAACTGAAAGCTTGTTTGTTGTAGAGGGGATTAGTCCCAAGAGGATGACAGATCTAACTTTTGTCTTAAAAAACACTACAAGCTCCACCTTTATTTTCAAATATTTTTTGTTTAGATTTTTAAGTTAACCATCTCAGATAGTCTCAGGAATTCAACAAACGTGGGGAGCCAAGAATCTTCTTATACTAGATTTCCCCTAGGTCTCCACCAAAAGGTCTGTGCTGTTTTTTCTGTCTTTTAGTAACAGTACTCCTGGGCCTAATCTGAGTCCCTAAGTTTTCTGCCCACACTCTACACTAGCCAGTATCCCTTGGCAAAAGTTGTTGGAGAAGTTAAGTTCACCTCCACAAGATTCTTCCTTCTCCGAAGCTTTGGCTCCTACATTTCTTGTCCACTGAGCAGTTAGTTTCCTGCTACCTTCAAACAGGCTTCCCTTGTTTTCATTAAGAACACTGATCTAATGCTAGCTACTTCTCTCCCACCTGGAGGGAAAAGTTATTTGAAAAATAACTGGATTTATAGATTTGAAAAATATTGTCATTTGACAATATTGTCAAAATGATTCAAAGCTTACCAAAGTGAAAAGTTATTTGAAAAATAACTTTTACCCAAAAGTTATATAAAAGTTTCTCAAATTATTTAATGGGCTTAACTGATATGGATGAAAGAGAAGATTGATCATTTAATTAACACTGACGAATCAGAAGGGATTCTAAGTGCTATTATTCCTCAGTATGAAGTTATGAACATGTTAACCAGACAGAATAAACCAACCAAAGTGGCTATCACATCTGTCTGTGAAAAGAATGGACCCAAGAATGTATTTCAAAAGGTACAATACTGCAGAAAAAAAAGATAATCCTATCCTACTGGTAGGTTCCTTGTAAAATGCCCTATCCAGTTTCTTCTTTAGAAGCAAAAGAAAAAAGAAATGTTCCAAACAGAATAGGTAAGGGGATCGGAATAGAGTAGCTCTCAGATACTGCAATAATTGACAGCAGAAAAGGAGACTATACAAAGGATCACTTTGTGTGGTAAGAAAATGCTGTGTAAATAAGCAAAACAAGCTAAAAAGCTTTTGTGCACAAGTCTTTATCCAAAATGGTTATACTGCTATTCCTCTAAAATCCTCAAAATTCTGAAATATGATAAACAAAGAAGCTTTAGACTAAACTTTCAAATGGTATGAAAATTTTTTGTTATTTTTATTGCATTTTGTTGCATAATGTAAGTACTTAAAAATGGGGGATGAGGATTTTTTAGACATACATATAGATTTAAAATAAAATGTAAGATTTCCTATATTTGAGACAAAAGAGGAAAGTTTATATATCTCTAAAAAACCAACTGCATACCTAAAATTAAAAGTTTAATAACATAGTAGTCAAAAATATTCGCAAAATTATGATAAGCAAAGGTTATGGCCCTATATTAGTTTGCTGGGGCTGCTGTAACACATACCACAGACCAGGTAGCTCAAACACAGAAATTTATTTTCTCATGCTTCTGGAAGCTAGAAGATCAATGTAGCTTGACAGAGGTCCTTTGTTCTGAGGTCTCCTGGGTTCTCTCAAGTCTTTATATGGTTGTTCCTCTGTGTGTATCTGTGTACTAATCTCCTTTTCTTATCAGGAAACCAGTCACATTGGATTAGGGATCACCCAAATGACCCAATTTTACCTTAACTGCCTCTTTAAGGGCCATATCTCCAAAATACATACACATTCTGAGGTACCGCAGGCGAAGGCTTCAACAAATGAATTGGGGGGACACAATTCAGCCGTTAACATTACACACTCATATAGCAAAGTAGGGCCTACAACAAGTAGGCACTTATAATGTGAAAGGCCTAAACAAATTAGGGGAAGGTTACTGAGGAGAGGCCAAGAAAATGTACTAAGAATTTAATGAAGAAACATAGTTGATAAATAAACATACTTCCTGTTTCCTAAAATCTTAACCAAATACACTGAAAAATACCATTTGAAATAAAGCTTACCAAAGTGGCAAGAAATTGCTTTTTAACATGATTATACCAAATAAGACAACATATTGTCAGTGGGATTATAAACTGAAAAAACATTTTGTAAAATAAATTGGAAAAATGCCCTAGGGCTGGGATCTACTTTTGGTGATTTATATCAACAAAATAATCTAAAATGTAGAGTGGGTTGTACATTATTTATAATGGTAAGGAACTGGAAACAAAATGTTCAAAAATGAGCAAACTGTGTAGCCATCAATATTATATAATATTTAAACATGAGGAAAAACAGGCATAATGTGCTGGTAAGAGAAGGAAAAAATTCTAAGAGATATATATATACACACACACATATATATATATATTTTTTAAAGATACATTTTTAAAAAATCTATACATCAAAATTTTAACACCAAAAATGAAAGTGCAATCACAGGTGATTTATTTTCCTCTCTGTGCTTTTCTGTATTTTGGAAATGCTTATAATGAGTATGTATTACATAACCTGGGGATGGTTATCCATATTTAAAATTCATGAATAGGAACAGAAGTAACATTTATTCACTATAAGTCTTGTTAATCCTAGAAAATAGTATTTTTGTAAATGAAGACAAATGAGTCTTAGAGATAGTAGATAATATGACTTCCCAATGCCAAAAGCTAGTAAGTGGTAAAGCCAGAAATCAGACCAAACTAGTCTGAGTCCAGAGCCCACTGTGAAAAATATTATAATTCTGTATTAAAATTATTTACAAAGGGGCAAAGGGAGAGGGGAGATAGGATATAAAAAAAAAAAAAAAAAATAGGGCGCCTGGGTGGCTCAGTTGGTTGAGCGACTGCCTTCGGCTCAGGTCATGATCCTGGAGTCCCAGGATCGAGTCCCGCATCGGGCTCCCTGCTTGGCAGGGAGTCTGCTTCTCCCTCTGACCCTCCTCCCTCTCATGCTCTCTCTCATTCTCTCTCTCTCAAATAAATAAATAAAATCTTTGAGGAAAAAAAAAAATAACTGAACATTACTATCTTTATTTATTTCTCCAGCTTCAAAAGCCTCTATGATTCTAAAGTCTGGAGAACTGCACTCTGGTTATATATGAGTAAGTGAAATTATTTTTTCCAAACAGTTAACTAGAAACACACATAACAAAAACTGCCCATTTCAAAGGATCAAAACACACATAAAAACTATTAACTATTGAAACTATTAAACATAATTTAGTATTTGAGATTTCCAGGTATTTAAGATTACTAGCATTGTCAATGGTACAATATTTAAAAAAAAAAAAAAAAGAACTGCTTATCATGTATCATGACCACTTATACCTTGGACGCACTCCAACTCAAATTTAATAGAAAAATGAAGCTTAGAATTTGTTTATATCAACATATAAAATATTGTGTTTTGGGATGC